TTTAGCAAGTTTTGAAGTTTATGAAAGTATGAAATAAATGGATTTTTAAATGGTTTCATATATCAGTCTAGGATGCAAGAGAATTGGCTGATGTTATTTTCCATCTGTCCCAAGTATTAAAGAGAAAATAAATTTGAATTATAGCTAGGGAGGATGTGGTTATTCCCAAGCAAGTCACAACTGGGGGTCCTGAGTGTTGTCTAGATTCAAATGCCTGATATCTAAGAGTTAGAATGTCTGACATCATGGCCCTCCCCGGTGGCGCAGCGGTTGAGCGCTGGGCTGCGAAGCCGCCGACAGCCTCTGCAGCACCTGTTTGATCCCCGGCCACCGGGCGAGGGTCCCACGTGGCGCGCAGACCTCTCCTGCCGCCCGCTGCTCCCCTCAGCAGTGTACTTCGGTCCTTCTGCCTGTTCTGCTCCACGCTCTGGCTCTGGTGATTGTATAAATAAATAAAAAAATAAATAAATCTTTAAAAAAAAAGAATGTCTGACATCGGGGGAGTTGGCATTAAGGCTGCAGAGGAATGCATCATCCCAATATGATGCCCAGAGCCCCCAGGATGTTGGTTTTTCAACAGACTTATGTGGGGGCATCTACAAAACAAATTCCTAAGTGCCACCCATAGTTTGAGTGGATTTAGTCCTAGAATCTCAAATGATTTCATGTAAAGTCCTACCTTAATCTTTTTTAAATCAAACAATAGCAGAAAAGTGAGTCAAGTGAATTGAAGTACCGCTCCATATCCTCAAAGGGAATTTCCAAGAAAAATGGGACAAAAGGAATAAGGTGTCCTCACATCAAAGGGTAAGAAATATTGGTAGGCAGCTTGTTAGTGTCTTATGCCATCACTACAGGTCACAATGCTGCTCCTAAACTACTATCCTATCCTCCCACTTAAGCCTACCCACTCCCACGCCATTCTAACTGTTCACAATTGGAGATCATTTACTGACTACTGTGGGTCTTGAAAAAAGGAATCTACAGATGATTTTTTTTTATGTTTTTTTGTTTTTTTTTAAAGATTTAATTTATTTTTTTATACAAGCACTGGGTACAGTCAGAAGTGCGGGAGGGTGAGAGAATTCACCAGAGCCAGAGCGGGGAGCAGAACAGGCAGAAGGACCGAAGTACACTGCTGAGGGGAGCAGCGGGCGGCAGGAGAGGTCTGCGCACCATGTGGGACCCTCCTCCAGTGGCCGGGGAGCAGCCGGGGATCGAACCGGCGCTGCAGAGGCTGCGGGCAGCTTCACAACACAGCGCTCAACCGATGCGCCACCAGGGAGGCCCTACGGATGATTTCTAAAAGTTATTATTGCTTATGAAAGATTAAGCAGTGAACTTCATTGAACAACTTCCTCTTTTCTTGCCAGTTGAAGATAATAATCTCTAAGCATTTTACCTGTTTAAGATATGAAAGATGATCCTGCAAAGGTAAGTAGAGGACAGGTGGTCACCAGGGCATCCACTCATCTCCTCCCCTCCTATTGGCTTAAGGGTTGTCTAAATAGCTTGTGTCTCCCTCTTTCTCTTTATGCTGTTCTCAGAAACAAACTAAACACCCTACAATAGGCAAATTATTAAACTAGCAGGTGATCTGAGTAAGTGGGGAGACATTCCATGTCCTTAGGTGGGATAGCAACATTATAGGTATTTTGACTCTACTAGCAATCAGTGAGATACAAGTTAAAATAAGATCATTTATTAATCTGCCAAAAAAGGGAACCAGAAAAATGGTATAGGTGGGATTATAGGAGCTCCATGTGTTACTTACGGAAGTAAGGACAGGGGCAACTATTCTGGGGTCTTATGGCAATAATCACTGATCCACAAATTCTGTTCTCATATGTATCCCAAAAAATCTTGCAATATTTACCTATAACATAACTTATGGAGTGGGGGAATGCTAGGGAAATGGATGCAATGTGTAAGGCACTCACCAGGCCATACTAAATAATAGTTAGCAGCAAAAGCTTAGATACAGCTATAGGAATATAGTTGAGTCTAAAACATACAAACTTATGGGTTGCTCTTTCCTTTGCCTTGAGGACTGAAGGGCCTGGGTTGCTCCAAGCATCCCTACTTGAACCGGGTAGTAAATGGAGACACATGGGCTGCTCTAACCACAGAGTGGCTCTGCATCAACAGATGTGGGTTGGGTGTCCACAGAAAGTGCCTCCTGTCCTCAAAGTGGACAGGTCTCCAGTCTGGAAGGTTACTTCAGCAAGCATTGTTCAACACATGGTATGTATTCTAAAGTGCCAGAACTTTCAGACAAAGGAATTTTATATAGGCAGGTTAGAGCTGGAGGATATGGTGATGCCAGCCTGACAGATGAAGACTTGGTTGCTGCAACATCCTTGCTTCAGGCCTTACAAACATCTTCATTCTTCATCTCCTGACTGCTGACAGCCATTTCCTGGCTGTGCTTGGTGAAACAGCAAGTGAATATTGGTTAGAGGCTTTCAACTTTCCAATATTAACAGATTTTTGGGTGAAGCCGTGGATAACGGCTAGTAACCATATGCATGAGATTTTTCTTTTTCCCACACCTGAACAGACTTGGCTGGCATGCCACAGAGAGTATAGGGGGCTTCAGTCTTGGGAGCAGATTCCTGTTTTGAAGTGCTTACCTGCATCCAGTTTTGGGATCGATAGTGCCACTGACAGCATGTGATCTTGTAAGATGTGACAATTTTTTTTTAAATAATAAATTTTATTTTTATATTCCCCCATACAATTGCAAACGCCCCATTCTGACCCCAATCCTTCCCCTCCCGCCCCCCACCCCCCAAAAAGTGTCTCTGGTTCATAGTTTTTTGTTGATTTTGATTTTCACTTTCTTATATTCATTTTCCTGGTCCCTTATTTAAGTTTTCTAGATTCCTGCTATGAGTGAGACCATGCGGTATTTTTCTTTTTCTTTTTGGCTTATTTCGCTGAGCATGATCCCTTCCAGCGCCATCCATGTTGCTGCAAATTGCATGTGTTTATCTTTTTTGAATGCTGAGTAATATTCCATGGTGTATATGTACCACATCTTCTTGATCCAGTCATCTATTTTTGGGCATTTGGGTTGTTTCCAAAGCTTAGCTATTGTAAACAGTGCTGCTATAAACATAGGGGTGCAGGTGTTCTTTGGAATTGATGTTTCTGTGTCCTTTGGGTAAATACCTAGGAGTGGAATTGCTGGATCATATGGAAGCTCTATGTTTAGTAGGTCCAGAAATCTCCACACAGCTCTCCATAGTGGTTGGACCAGTTTGCACTCCCACCAACAGTGCAGAAGAGTTCCTTTTTCTCCACACCCTCGCCAACATTTGTTGTTGCTAGTTTTTTTAATATGTGCCATTCCCACTGGTGTGAGATGGTATCTCATGGTAGTTTTGGTTTGCATTTCCCTGATGACAAGTGATGTTGAACATTTTTTCATATGCCTGTTGGCCATTTGCATTTCCTCTTCAGAGAAGTTTCTTTTTAGCTATTCTGCCCATTTTTTGACTGGATTATTTTCTTTGTTGTTGCTGAGTCTCATCAGCTCTTTGCAGATTTTTGTGATCAGTCCTTTATCATTAGTGTTGGGTGCAGTGACAATTTTTTTTTTGAGAGTGAACAATCCCCCAAACCAGTGAGAAGCTGTTGCATGTTGTTGTTGTTTTTTTTTTTTTCTTTTTTATGAGGACTGATGCTAATGATTTCACTTTGGGGGTCTGAGCCACCTGACCTGCCAGTCAGACCTTGAGCCTGGGCCAGAATGGTTAATTTTTAATATGCAAAATGTACTGAACAAGGTTCAACAAAGCTGTGGTCTCTTCTAGCTTACAGTAGCAAAGAGAATCAAGCCAGGACTCTGGCCCATTTTATCTTATAACCTAGAGCATAGTAGCAGAGGAGGCAGGAGGCAACTCTAGTCTGATTGGTTGAGGGTCAAGATGTAGTTTCTTCAGTCAGATTGCTTGTGTTCAAGCCTCAGTCTGCCAATCACCAGAGTAAATCACTTCATTGCCTTCTGAGTCTTGATTTCATAATTCATAAGATGAGGTAAGACATGGTTCAAGGGGTATGGCGATTACATGGGAAAATGTACATAAAGTATACAGTGTGGTGCTTGGATCCTGGTAAACATGCCACGTATAGTAACCATTACTAACATGTCCTTGCTTGTTCAATTCAGTTCAGCAAATATATAATGATATCTCCAATGTACTTGCTTCTGGAAGTAAAAACACACAAAAGACACTGAGGGAATTTGGATCTAATAAAGATACACACATAGAAACACATGATTGTAAAATAATAAAGTAAGTCCCACAAGGGAATGCAGAGGATGGGCCCATGGGCCAGTCCAGCTCTTCACAAAAGGCTCCCTCCACATGCAGCAAGAAGGCTGAGCTGGAGATGGCTGGGCCAGCAAGGGTGAGCTGGCCTTTATCCTAAAGTATGTGGGAGCTATTTAAAGATTTAAAGCAATAGTAACAGGGATTGATTTGCATTTGAGAAACATCTCTCTGGGGTCATTGTGAAGAACAGAGCAGAAAGGGTAAGAGTGGAGAAAGGGAAACTAATTATAAGGCTATTGAAGTCATCTGGGAAAGAGACTGATTGAGAGTAAATGAACTGGCTGGTAGTGAACTAGCAAGGAGGGATGGAGGGCACTTAAGAGTATTTTGTGAAATCAATGGAACTTGATTATTCAGATGTGAAGGGAAAAATAGGAGTTTAGATAGAGGGATAGAATCTGCTTGGAGGAAAGGTGGGAAAGAAAGTGTGGGTTGAGGGAGAGAGGCACAGGAAGAAACTGAGTAGAGGGAAAAGCCAACAAACTGAGAATAAAGTCTGGGAAACACCAGTATTTGAGGGGACAAATACAATGAGCGATGCGTGCCATTTAAAAAACCAGTAGCTGCAAAAACCCATACTTACCATTTGAGTTATATTCAATAACATTTTGGAGGATGCATGTATGTGGGAATAAAACTTATTACTCATTATCTTTTCATGCTAAATTTTTATTTCAATGTTATGCAACTGCATAAGTATAAATATTTGTTCAATATACAACAATTATGACATCCATAGGGAATTTCTTAGAGAAAATAAGACTGCAAACACTTTATTGCACAGATCCTAACAAACTTTTAAGCTGGTAAATCTACAGCTGGGAGTACTACCGAGGAGCACATCTTACAATCACAGGAGACCGACCAAATAGAACACAGGAGACTTTCTACCAGCTGATTGGAGAGGTTTACAACAACAAACAGGTACTACATGAATGCAACCTTAAGCACTCTTTACTCAACCAGAATGCAAAAACATATTTGGCAAAAATGATAATACACTATACAAAATATACATAAAAATATCATTTGTAAACAAGCAGCTAGTTGTGCTTTAAAGGAAACTGGACAGTTAAAAAGCAAAGGCTGTAAACCATGAACTACCTCCCTGTAGACCAGTCTGGAGGTCTGAGTGCACACAGACTGGGCTATGACAACTGCCAGACACAGATATTAATTATAAATGTTGAGACCGTTTTTGAAACTCATTTAAGTTTTTGTTAAGTATTTTTTTCTCCTACACTTTCACAACATAATGATAGGGAATGGCTGAAACCACATGGGAAAAAAATTAGGGGCAAGGAGGAGACTTTTTTGTCATTGCCAACTCATTTTACAATGAAGGACAACCAAGCAGTTAAGTTACGCCTTTGTTTTTGAAGCGGAGTTTACAGCTTCGCTAAATGATTTACAATCCACAGGGCTATTAAGATGATGCTGTGCTTGGATGAATAATTTTATAGCTTGAAGATATTTAACCATCCCTGTGGGGGTTGGGTGCTGGATTAGTATTTATTGGTAATTTTTTTCTCTTACAAAACAGAACAAAAATTCTGCTATGGATCCCAAGCATCTTATAAATACTTATCTGTGTATTTTCTCTTAGTGCCTTAGTACTTATGTCAGCAAGTGCCATCTTACAGTACACCAGTAAAACTGGAACAAAAAAAACAAACAAACAGAAACCCCTCAGCACTAAAATGATTTGACAAATTCTACATATTCATGGTATACAAAATTTAAATAAGGCTTAGCAAAAGTAAAAAGGACAGTCACATTCAAGCACCAAATAGCTCCAACAAGTCGTTGTGTTACAAAAATGTTCCTCTTTATTAATATAGTAATTTTTGCATATAAATAAAGAGGACATATTATGAAATGTGTGGAGCTACTCAATGCATCAGAAATGAATGTGAAAACCAGGAGCTTGCTAAAAACAGCAAGCTTCATCTACAACATAAGGCCCCAGCTATGTATTAAAATGTATCTGATGTCCTGATTATTCCTTAATATATATGCTATGATGCCAAAATCCACCCCCCCCTTCTTGTCCTCAAAAAAGCAAATTTAAAACCTCTTCCAATGCCTAATGCTCATTACTCAACCTAAGTACTAGCAGATTCGTGTGTGTCCAGCAATTTTCCTTTTATGTCAGAAGCAGGGCTGGTTCAGGACTACTAGGAAATGTGTGCTTCTTGGACAAGCCACTCACAGCATAAAGGCCTGAGTTTAAGAGCAGGAAAAGAAGGAAAAGCAAGAGAACAGAAATAAAGGTGACGTGCGTTCACAGCCCCCGCTCTACCTATGGTGAAGACTGACATACACACCCACAGACAAGGACAACTGGCCTGACAGACAGTTGGACCCAGGATCACAATGTCCATTAAGATGACTGTGAAATGAAATGGCTAACTCCATCTGTTCTGGCCATTTCTAATGGAGGAGGATTCCAAAAGCAGTGATTAGAGGAGTTCTTGCTTTAATCTGGAAATATAGGTAGCCAGATACAGTACTATCAAAATTTCTGCTTAAAAATACACATAAAAACTCACAATCTACTGTATTTAGGGCTTGCTTTCTTCTTTAACTCTACGTAGAATGTTTGAACTTGTAAAAACGCAGCCTTGAAATATTCTCTTCAATCACAGACATCAAAACGTGTGTGGATGTGTATATACACAAATGGGGGTGCATCTATACTTTTACACACACCCAGTTTTAACCATTTCTCTTCATTACTACATTATGGTGAGTGGTAAAGCAAAAAATCTAATTGAAAAAAACCCAAACAAAGCTGAAGTAAACAATGCGATCAGCAGCAAGGTGTAGACTCTACATCCAAAACCAAACACATCGCTAGATATTTACAGAGAAAATCTTTCTCCTCAACAACCCTCAACTGTAAAGGTAGTGATTTTTTGTACAAACACTATCTGGTAACAGTTTTACCGGTTACAACTGGGAAGGCATTTGGAAGAAGGTCCTTTCTCGCTTTCCAAATTCTCTTTCTCTTTCTCCTTCTTCAGTGAGGCTCCCGGCTCTGCCTGGCGGACATTCCCACACAGTGCTGGTTTCAAAGGTAGTCAAGACACAGTAACACATTCAGGTTGGGTGACCCCAGTCCTGCCCTGGGGCCAGCCCCATCACGAGGCCTTTTTGTGAGGACTGCTACGCAAACTCTCTTTCCCCCGCCTCTGCCGTACCACAAAGTCCTTCTCAGAAGAAAGGGAGATGGGGCGGTCAGCGCTTGGTGCTGGGGACGGCTTGGTTACTTCTCTGCCCACATTCTGTTTCCTAGTCTGAGGAGGCTGGACAGGGGCAGGTTCTTTCCCTTTGGTTTCTCCTACGGGGGCAGTGACTGAGAGCGCCCTGTCCCGGTGGCCAGCTCCCCCAGCCACACTTGAGTTGGGGTGGTGTGACTCCAGAGTGACAGCAGAGCTCCGAAAGGATGGCATAGAGTCGCTCTTTGTCATTTGGGTTCTGCCATCCCCCGCGGGCAGGGACTTCCTTTGGTCCCTGTTAATGGAGGCCGTGGCCTCAGTCCCATAGGCCTTGACAGAAGAGGGGTTGTTGCTGGCTGTGGAGGCATCTCGAACTCCTGACCTGGTGTCAGGAAAGCTGGAGGAGCAGCTAAGAGACTTCTCTGGGAGGGTAGCTGATCGAAAAGAACTCTGCCCAGTGGCCGAGGGTGAGCGTTTCATGCCACTGGGCTTGCCTGCTTCAGTCAATGGCTTCTGGGGACTGAGGCCTTTTCCCTTAGCCTCTGTGAATCCCTTCCCCGCTGCTGCTGCAGGCTTCTCAGCTTTTAGCCTCGACTCACCGTGTGTCAGGGAAAGGCTGGCCTCCAGCTTTCCGCTGTCTGCTGGAACATAAAGTGCTTCTGTGCATTTCTTCCCTTCAGACTTCCGGTCTATGGTGGTGGCCAGAAGGCTGGGGCTCTTGTCTGTCTGTTTGCACAGAGAGGGGAAATCTTTCACAGTGGATGGTTTTGGGTGCTTTGGAGACAGGTTCTGCTTTTCACTGACAATGGGAACATTCTGATCTACCAACTCACTAACCCCTGGGTGTCCTTGCCTTGGCAGATGCACAGGCTTCTCCAGAATCTCCAGGGGATGCCCACCACTGGCAGGTTTCAGCTTGGGGTCTAGAGGCCCCTTTTCAGTGTGTAGTGGGACCAAGGGCCCACTTCCTCCCTGGAAAATTGTATCACTGGCTGCTTTCTGGGAACTTGGGGTGTCAGGGAAGGAGTCCAGCACACTTTTACTGCTTTCCTTTCCTTCTTGACTAGGGCCACCAAGAGGCAGAGCGCCAGACTCTCTGCCCACTGCAGCCCCCACGCTCAGCTTCTGGGAGGAGAGGAGCCTCTCTAGGTGCTTCAACTTTGCAGGGCCTGCATCAGGGCCAGGCCTCAGCTTGTGGCTGCTACTTTCACTGTGCACAGCAGTGGACTTGGGAGGGTCCTGGAGGCCTGGGCTGGGATCAGTAGCATAGGGCTTATTTCCTGGCTCTTTGCCTGAAGAGTGGCTGGGTGACCTGCAATGCTGGCGAACAGCATTGCTGGGTGGCTCTTTGGTGATGGGTGGGGGCTGAGAGCTACTGCCGAAATGCTTTTGAAGAGGCTGTTCTTTTCTTTCCAGTTCCTTGGGGACATCTTTCTGCAAAGATGGGAAACCAGGGAGCTTCTCACTCTTCCCACCCTCAGGTGTGGGTGTCTGCAGAGACCTCTTGGCAGGGAGGGCTTCTGGCTTAGGTTCCAGACTACTTTTTCCCTTGCCCAGCTCTCTTTCAGGAGTCACCCCTGAAAACAAAGAGGAGTCCTCTCTGGGCAGGGACCTCACCTCATCGTGACCATCTTTATGGTTTGTTTTCCCAGAAGGCCCCCACACTTTCTCCAAGGTCTGGATCTGTGTGTAGGAATCTGGGTGGGTCCTTCCCGCAGAGGGGAGATTTTTGGCTTTGTCACTGGTTTTAGCACTTTCTGGAGGACAGAGCTCCACAGAATGGTCCCTGAGGACCCTGGCCTTTGTAGCAGTCCACTCACTCCTGGCTGTGGAAGGGCCCCTTTCGGATGATTCCTTCAGACCCGGCTTCTCCCTCAAGGGAGTAGCTTCAGGTGGGAGTGGCCCCCGTGGCCTGGCTGTGTCGGCACCCTGGAGGTTCGGCCCCAGGAAAGGATGGACCTTAGGGTCAAGGCTGTTGTCTAGGTGTTTGCTGGCACCGCTCTCTCTCCGTTGCGGGTCGCTTTCCACGACAGTCCCGGCATTTCTGGAAGCATGGGAAACCTTCCTGTCTCGCTTTAGCACCGGGTCAGGCAGGACTGCTACAGCTGAATTCTGCATACCCCGGCCAGGTGGTGGGAACCGAGGCTCCAGCAGGTAGGATTTATTTACCTTGAAGCTGGCAGAGGAAGACTCCCTCTGACTCACAGTTTCACCCTTTTTCCCCCCGCTGCTGGGGAGGGGGAGTGAAGGTGCCACATCACTGCCTGGGCTGGGGCTCTGGGTGGGCTCTGGTGAAGGCAGCTCTGCTTTGGAAGCTTGAGGTCCAGAAAGGAGAGCGATGTCCAAAGTGCCCTCAATTGGCTTCAGGCATGACACAGACCTACCTTCCAGCTTATACTCAGAAGGGCTTTTCCGGACAGGTGACTCGGGAGCAACCAAGCTTGGCTTCTCTGCTCCACTGTCCACCCGGCCAGTCAAGGCCTTCAGAGGAACAAAAGAGACAGGCGCTAATCTGGGCACTATTGATGAACGCCCGACTCTCAGAGGCAGGGGGAGCCTCCTGCAGCCCACCCAGGGCCCTGGCTGGGCTCCCGGGCAGGCATTCATGGGCACCAGATGTCATCTTGGGCTTCAGCACTGGACAGAAACTGTCGTCTTTGTCTTCAAGTGACATCTTCTTTCGGAGGTAATCAATGTTGGCCATCTTGCTGTCTAACTTCTCACAGCGGAGATACTCCTTGGACTGGGGAGTCTTCTCTGTGTTTTCACCCTTCCTGAAAGTGGTCCTGTCGGTGGAAGTGCAGAGACCGTCCTGCAGAGTGCTGGGTGCAGAGGACCGTTTGAAGTCACAGGTACCCTGCCCATGCTCTGCGGGCACTGCCCCCTCCGAGACCACCCCTTCACTGGCCCGTGCACTGGCCTGCTTGTGAAGAGCATCTTTCAATAAGCTGCCCAGGGACTGGGCTTCTTGCAGGGACGCTTTATTTTCAAAATGGCTTGACCTTTCTAGAGCCTTCGGATATATTTTCTTCTCTCTCTCCTCTAGCCTAAAGGAAGGGAGGTTTTCCAAATCACTACCAAGTCCATGGGATTTCTGGTGGGACTCCTGTTTTTCTGGGAAGCCCTCTGGTTTCTTCACGACCACCTTGGCCTTCAGCTTATCTCGGTCCAGGTCATCCACGGATTCCTGCCTCCCTAGCTTGCGGGAGACTGGGCGCTTCAGGCAGCCCTGCTCCACTGGCCTGGCCCGGCTCAGGGAAGGCGCGTCACACATGTTCTCCTCCAGGCTCTGCAAGGTCACCTCCCGCTGGGGCTGCTCCCGCTGCACCTCCTCCTGTGTCACCTCCAGGCTGTGCTTGCGGGAACACAGGTGCTTCTTGTCACTGCCGTAGGAGGGAGAGAGCTTTTCCTCTGACTGCACACGCTTGAGCAGCGGGGAACGCGGGGGCTCTGCGCTCTTAGGCCTCACAATGTGTCTGACGATGGTGGGAGGGGAGTGCATTTTGTTGGGAAAGGCTTGAGCGATCTTGGAATTGCCAAGTGAATGTCCCAGGAGAGGTGATGGTGACCGCTGTGGGGAGGTGGGCTGTGGAGTTGGAGAGGGTGTCCTGGCCAAGGGGGAGAGCGGGATACTCCCAGCTGACTTCCGCCTTCCAGAGCGGTACCGCTGCCCACTCAGTTTGGGGGCCAGACCGTGCAGAGTACTGGGCCGGATGTGTCCTGACCCTGCTGGAGAATTGGGGGCACTAGAACTGGGTGAGCTGCTTTGGGAGGAGTTGGTACCTGTGGGTGGAAACAGAATCTGATGAGCATCTATGGCCATGTCCCATTTTCTGCCCACTCTCCCAGCCCCAACTATTTTAGGTCAGGTCAGGTAAAGGTCAGGAAACTGTCTCAGCATCTAACTCCAATGAGTGAATGCTTTTCAGATAAACCTCCCATACACCCGTAGATCACCCAACACTCTCTGTCTTATTTTAGTGGTCCAAATAACTGTATCTTATGGCCCTCTTCTAAATCTTCTTCTCTATCTTGTATAGAATCAAAACATCCTTAATCTTTTCTCCTTCAGAGGAAATAAGCTTTACGTCTTTCAGAATCTCAGATGGTGACTCTAACCTCTCAGGTCTCCCTTGATCTCCAGGCCACTCACTCACCAGATGGGAAGTCGGGGGTGGAGCGATAGCTGGGTGTAGGAGACCGGGGAGATAAGCTGTGAGTGGGGGACCCTGGAAGGCTTTCCCCTGATGACAGGGATCTGTTTAAGCAGGAGAAACTTCGGCTGGTATGGAGTAAAGGAGAAGGCTGCTTGGCTAGTTTTTTGAAAAGGGATCTCCTCCTAGAGTGAAAACAGGAGAAAAAACGGTCAGAGTCAATGTCCTCCCCAAATACCAGTGTATTTAGCTCACACTTTGGTGCCAGAGACAGTGATGTGATGGCTGATTCTGCAAAACAGCAGGATCCCACTTTATGTTAGAAAGCTTTTTATGACTTCAAAAGGCACCGTCTTTAATAGCACACAGTGGAGGTTTTCTTCTTTTCTAAACACTTTAAAAGGAGCTGGGAAAATAGGAAACATTTAACATATTTAAATATATATCCATTTATTTACTTGTCAGGTTTACTCGGAGGGTGTTTTTTTTGCCTGAAAGCTTCTGAATACATATCCCCAGAAAAACTGACACAATTTAATTAAGAGATAATACAACGTAAATCTCTGGAAGAAAAAGCAGCATTTGGTAAATCGGCACCATTCCTTCACAGTGAAAAACAGGGCAGAGGCTTTTCTGTGAGGGGCTAGTTGCTGTGCATATTCCATTGTGAGCTCTTGATTTTTCTTTTTTTCTTTTTCTAAATTCTTTTATTTATTTTTTTAATTTAAATTTTATTTTTATATTCCCCATACAATTATAACCCCCTTATTTTGACCCCAATCCCTCCTTTCCAATGTAGGCTGTACATTTTCTAAGAAAACTTGGGAAAGGTGAATTGAAGCTTATCACAGCAGCAGGGCAGCAGATTCTGTGCAACCACAGAAGCAAATGTGTATTTAGAGTTCAATGAACAATTCTTAAAGCAAAAGGCACAGCTGCAGATGGTTGTAAGTGCAGGTAGCTCTATGAAGTTCTCTTACTATGCTGCGAGCCTGACTCACTCCTGGTGAGCACGAAAACTAAGGTTTAAATGCCGGTCCCCCTTGAAACAGTGCATTCTGTATGATTTAAAGCACAGTCAAAAAACATAAAGCCCAACCTAACAACAATCTCAGAATATGTGTGTGTGTGTGTGCGTGCGCGCATGCACATGTGTGTTTAGTTTTAATCTAAGTAGCAAGTGTACTTGGGTTAAAAAGTCAAGTAGTTTCATAAACATTCAATAAAAAATAGCAACTTCCCTACTCTGCTTTTTGCTCACTGTGCAGAGAAACCAAGTTCCACTGTTTTACCCATTTCTTCTCCCAGTTGTCTATAGTGCTAAATCATGTTGTATACACTGCTGTTTTTCAGTTTCAGGTATTATCTGCTGATTTCCTGCCATAGAAGGTGAGAATTAAGCTCTTATCAACCCTCTTCCACCTTCTGACCAAAATGCACTTCCCCTTTTCTATTTCCCACAATAGAGCTAAACCAAACTACTTTATTAGAAAAAAAAAGCTGTCATTTCATTCACTTTACATTATAAATGTTGTTCATAGTTGGGCCATAAAAAGGATAATTTTATTTCCTTTCTTATATAACTATCTTTTCTGGTGTTAATAAAAATTCTGTTTCACTTGCTTGTGTTTCTGTATTCCTGTCATCATAAATCCTCTTATTATGTTTAGAGCCAAGTGGGTACGGCAGGAGTGTGGTAGAAGGTGCAGGGAGCACCTTTAGACAGTTCCCTGGCGAGAAATGTTTGTACACAAAACACACCCACACATGCACACATGCGCACACACACATGTGCATGCAACACACAACTTGCCAGGGTCTGCTGACAGCACAAAAAGCTGCCCATGGTGTTTCCCAGACTGCAAAGGTGGCTGAATAACCTAGTTAAATTTTCAGTTAGTATAACAAAGCCCTGTCACTTGTAGGCATATTGGGATGCTTAAAAGACATAATTATTTTAGAATATCTGTCATTAAAAAAAACACCAGCCATTTGTTCTTAGATAAAGGACATTATTAAATGTAGATTTTAACTTAAAAGCTATCTGAAGGCCCAGTTCCTTAAATGCAATTCCACTGGAATGTAGCGAGGCTCAGATAGCAGGAAGGGGCTTTCATGGTGCTCATGCATGGAGAAAAGCAGACTGTCTTATCACAATGTGTGTAAATCCTGCCACTGTGAGAAATAGGGTTAGTAGGGATATGAGCTTTAATGTGTAATGCATAATGAGGAATATACATGAACCACAGCATAACATTTCTCACAGAGAAATGAAACTTTCTTACATGTAACCATTTCCATTAAGTAAGGAGTAACTTTCCTGCAACATGAGTACACTCCAAACTCACAAAGAAGACTGCTTTAACCAACCTTTCTAGACTTTCTTTCTTCTTAGATTTCTTGCTCCGCCTCACCATCCGGCTCTTGTAGCTGTTTCTCCTGGCTGGTCCTGTTTTGATTGATGTGTTTTCAAACGGGGTGGTAGTGATTGACACCTTATTTCCACTCTATAAAAAAAAAGTGAGTGGAATTAGAGGGAAAAAGCTATGATAAAGCAAGATCAGAACAGACACAGGAGACAAAAAGACAAAGATGCCTAAAAACATACATACAAAAGATCTTCATTTCATAAACCTTCAAGTGGTGATGTCCTGACAGAATACAAACCAGTGGACAGAAATTGTGAAGTTCCCTTAAGAGGGTGGCCTCTGGACTCCACAGACCTGAGTTCAAATCTGGGCTCTGTGACCTTGGGAGGTTGCTCCACCTCCCTCTTACTCAATTTCTTATACATGGAAGTTGACAACAGAATCACACCTATCTTGTCAAGGCTCATCTGAGGATTAAATGGGATAGAGTTTGTAAAGCCTTTAGTGCCGGGTGTGACATAGGGAAAGGCTTCTATAAATAACAGCTATCTTCATCCATATTCATTAAGCATAAATGTGCCCAGGGACTGTCTGCTCTTAGTTGATTTATTTTTCTTTTTTCCTCCTTTTTTGTGTTTTTCTTTTGACCTAGAAATCATGGAGTAGCAAAACTGAATGAGACTTTTATTTTTAATTATTGTAAAAGGTTACTTTTCTATCACCATAAAACCTGTCAGCTTGCAGAGTTGGAAGTTTACGCCAGCAAGTATGAAACAGTCTCTTTAACCCAGGTCACGAATGCTAAGTAAATGGTTGGTGTCTGTTGCCCTTTCACTCAATCCTGGGGTATGGGGCTGGCTGGGCAGGCCCTAGGGCTGATTTGAAAACAGTTTCCAGGCAGGTTGTGGGGCATCTGGGACAAGCGGGCAGGACTAATCTCCCTCACTCTCGCATCAATTACCTCTGCTTGAATTTCTGAACAACCAGGGGAGAAACATGTCCTTTCACAGTCACAGATGGCCCTGCATGCCTTGAAAAAGCCAGACAGACAAGGAGAAGGTATTTTTAAAAGGTTCATATCTAGAAGACACTTAGTGACTACAAAGTGATGGGGAGTTAAGTCTGAGGGGGACTGAACCAACAAGGAATGAGTGCTATAATGTGAACATCTACTCCCTCACTCCCCAATTTTGGAAGTAATTTATGCCATTGTAAAAAGAAAACGGTAAAGTAGAAATAAAAAAGTAAAAATCACTGAGAAGCCTATCACCCAGCTTGCACTGGTAATGTTTCAGTATACTTCCTGCTGGTCTTTTTTTAGCCACATATAAATGTGCACATATGTTGATATGTAAATAGCTTTAATCTTACAACATTTATAGTTTTATGTATTTTTTAAACTTCACATTATGTAACATTGACAGACTTGTCTTTTATTATTAAAAAGCCTTTAAGAACACAATTTTTATTGGCTCTACAATACAGTCCATCAAGCAGATAAATCAAAACTTACTTAACTATTTCGCTACTACTATTATTTGCTTTTTAAAATTATTATAAAAGTTAAAGTAAATATACTTTATACTATGCCATTTTTCTTAGATTTTTGTAATTAGACTCACTGTACTGAATCAAGGGTGTACCTGAGCTTCTTAAAGACACTAGGTCTAGATTGCTATACTCTATTCCCAAAAGTGTGCATTTATACTTCTGACAGCACTGCAGGAGTACCTACCTTACCCAGGCTTGTCAGAACTGAATATGAACATTAAACACATTATAATTTTATAGGAACACATACATATCAACTTTCAATCTTCATGTTTTAACAGCTCAGAGTCTGGACATTATATAATTTATTTTGGCCAGCTGTATTATCTTCAGGGAAAGATTTGTTAATGTCTTTATATATCCAATTTACTATCAGGTTTTAGTATTTTATTACTGCATTTAAAGTTCTTCAAATATTTAAGAACATAGAATCCCATACCTGTCATAACTGTAAAGAAAATAATTTTAGGAGAATGGAATTGGAACTTGAATGAGAGAAAAAAAAATCATTCTCAAGTAGAAAGTGACATGTTCTATATGTAAGTGTCAAAACTTTAAAAATAAATCTCTGTCTAATAGTAGAGACTGATAGAAAATTCAACTTTTAAGAAAAATCTCCCAAAGAAGGTTATTTGGAATGGTGTCTTTGCTTTACAAATAGAGTAAAGCCAGGTGAAAATTTTAGTTTCTCCTATATGCCTTAGCTTAGGTGAAGGAAAGAGGCACAAAGGAGGTTAGGGTTCACCTTTCATTAAATTTCTTTCAATCATTTTTCACATTCAAACTGAGTGGAAACAGAGAGAGTGTGTGTGCATGTATGAGATCTTTGTGGCTGTTCTATCACATGGGCCGAGGGAGTCTAAACGCACTTCTACCCATTTCTGACATGGGCATTGGCATTTATAGCTTTAGCTATAAAAGGGCAACATGCCATCTGGCATCTTAAAAGCACATTTTGAATATTAAAGCATTTTCCACATATAGTCTCTTTATCTCTCACAACCAAATCATAAGGTTTTTGGTTTTCCTTTTTCTCCCTATGAGTAGGAAGGGATTATTACCCTGGCAACATAGATAAGAAAAATAAATTCAGAGACACTGCGATTCTTCTCTCTCAAGGTCACAGAGCCAGGGCTCTCTGTCCACATCCTCACCAGTGCCCACTCCTTGTGGGCAGACCATGCCTGATGCCCTCTGTGTCTGCTGTGCCCAAAACAGCACTTGGCTGGTACTTGATAAATGGTCATGCAGGAACGAGGCAGTAAATGGACAGGGGAAACAATCCAAGCATCAGAATGTCAAGAATGTAGAGATATACAAATCTCATAAACACTGTATAAAATAAATACAAAAGAAATCCAGAGATAAATTCTGGACAGATCTCATCAGAAAAGTTGTAAGCAGGGCTTTCCAAATCAGAGCACATCACTAAGTTCTAAACAAATGTTCTCTTCTACAAGCTAACCCCAGTGTTTACCCCTTCTTATTTCTACACATGGCAGTTCCAGGGACAGATCACCTGACTTATGGAAATACACCAAGAGATAATGCCCAAAGAGGAAATACAGACACAGAAGATGAGAGGTGCAAATACTTGTTTGGAAACATTACTGATTATAAAAATGGTAAATGACTGGAAAAATAACCTTACAGAGACTAGGTGAGAACTGTGAAGCCTGCCACCTGGTGGATCCATTAGTTACAGCAAATGTTGCCTGGTTTAGTGGGTCCCTTTATCTTCAATACATTCTTTTGAAGACTGGAGACCTCTAATCAAAGAAATTCTGTGGCACTTGTTTAAAAATAGCAACAGACGGGACCAGCAGACTGTTAAATGTTCAGTTAGTTCACTTTTACTTTAAGTTACTTGTGTAATCAGTGCACGGTGGGAGGGAAATTATTTAAGCTGGCTGAACTGAACACACTAAAGCAGGAGTCAGGCTGGTTTGATGTCTTCTCTCAGTCTGGCTCCCAGTGAGCCTATCAGTTAGCCTTGGGGAACTCACTGAACTACATGTTTTACATTTCTTTCTCTGCAAAATCACATGTGAGGAATGGTGGAGCTCTTCCTTCACACTTGGGTCCCTGCCCTGACTCACTGCCTCCAGGATCCAGTCCCAACCACCTTGCACACATCTGTGCACCAACCAGCCCAGTTCTGCGGGTTCATTCCTGCACTTCCAACACTTTGAGCTCTCCCGCCCTTTTGCTTTTTTGCACATTGTTTTGGTAAGAGCACCCACCTCCACTTTCCAGGCACGAAAGCCCCAAGCATTGTCAGAGACCTGCACAGATACCCCAACTCTTCATCCCCGTCCCTGTTGGTGGAGAGCCATCTCCCCTTCAGAACTTTGTTCACGTTTACTCTGTTCCTTATATACATAGTATTTGATTGTAACTTGGTATTGCCACTGCCTTCTCCTGTGAACCCTGGACCCTGAGTTATTGGCCATCAAAGAACCTCCAGTGTGGCACTCATTCTGTGGTGTCCTAGCAGGAAGCATGGGCTCCGGAGTCTGAGGTGCAAATCCTATTCTGCTCCTTTCTACAGAGAAGCTTAGGCTGTGTTGCTAACTTTCTCTGCTTTAATTTCTTCATCCTGTAAGTGGGGACATTTATAACAGCTACCTTACAGGGATGAGGATGACTTGAGTTTCTTAGGTGATGCACTCTCTATTACCTGTCATTTTTATGTGCCTTTTGTCATGTGGCCCATTGGTAGCTAGAATAAAGCTCCACACATTGTGGGGACTCAGCAGACATGTGAGATGGTCATAAAGATGCTATCTGATATCCCCAATTTTAGTAACCGTGACAGAGCATACCACGGCTTCTAAGGGCATAAAAGGCACTGCATTATGGGATGTTCATGCAACTTCAGACACACATTGACTAGGTCTTAGAATGAGGACACTTCAGAACCAGGTAAGGGCAAAATTTAGTATCACCATTTTTTTGTTCCCCAGAGTTCAAGGAAAGGAAAATTTTAAACCAGAGGCTGATGAAGTTGGAGGGCTTTTCTTTTTGCATTAGCGATTTAAAATAATACTGTCCTGAAAAAACAAAAACAGAAACAAAAACAAAGTGGTTGAAGAGAAGTTAAGCTGGGCAGGTTATCACATAAGCAGGGCACATCTCAGAGCCAATGTGGCTTTACCACCACTGTAGAGCACGAAGAAAGATACCTCAGTCCTTCCACTAAGCTCTTCTAGAAAGATTGATGCTGGCTGAAAGCTGAATAGAGGTATTTAGCCCCTTATGGCAGGAGAGTTTTGAGGCAAAGCTAAAGGAGCATTTTTTAAGGGATTCACACAGTCAATGGGAGTTGAGCTGGAAAACAGTAAGCTTCTGTCACTCCATGGACCTCGGACACTGAATGACTCTGGACAGGTTTTCCTGTGCAGGCAAGTTAGTGCTTCCATGGCAAGTTCCCTTTGAAGTTGTGAGGGTACAAATAAGACAAAATGTGAAGCCATCGGATGGAAGATGCTCTCTGTGTTCACAAACCAAAAGATGAAAAGTGCAACACATTTCAAAACACCTGCACACAGCCTGGGACAGCTCTGCTACCTAAGGTGCTCATGAGGGTTTACAAGTAGCTTGCAAGTTGAAACCCATGTATAAAGCACATCCGAGAACACCAAAAGACAGCTGCTACCCTGACATTGCCCCAGCAGTTGCATATACCGGCCCAGTGCCGGTACCAGTCACTTCTGCTTTGTTCAAAACCACTAGTTAGCTTTGGAAGCTGTGTGATTATTACACAGCTCACTAGAAAGATAATTAAGTCCCTCGTATCCTCTTTGTTTCATTACACTGGTTACTCCCCTTGAGTGCTTCCTTTATGAACCAGTGGCAGGATCCTCTGCTGGGATCTGTGACAGAGCACACCATGGCTTCTACATGTGCCAAAGATGCTGCATTACTGCATGTTCACACAACTTCAGACATACACTGACTAGGTCGTGTAATGAGGACACTTTGGAACCAGAAGAGGGCAACATGTAATAGTGGGATTATTTGATTCTACCAGGAAGCCTTGCCAGACACCTTTAGGAGAAATATACAATATGCATTCACATTTCACAGAAGAGAGGATTCAAAATGCAGAAGCAAATTAAAGGACTTTATAAAATAAATCATAAAGGAGGTCAATTATGTCTTGGCAAAATAAACAAATGCATGTTTTCTAAAGATGTACGTTTCAGTTTATTGTTTCTTCTAATTTTATGAGCAGACATATGAAATGAAGCAAAAGATATGCTGTGATATAGGTTGTGTATACCACAACACTATTACCAAAAATTGTACATGTCTGAACATATGTTGTCATTTAAAATCCCTTGTCCTTCTATTAATTGCTGATGCCAAGATTTAGAAAAGCTTGAGTAGAATGAATAACGACCATGAGAAGCTCACCAACAAATCACACACTTGAAACCAAAGGTCAAGATGAGCTTCTAGACAAGCTCAAGGAGCATTTTACAGATAGATAGCACCTCAGCCTGGCTACCCTGTGGTCCCTAATCAACTGGAAAGATTATATGCTGGATGTGAGAGACAGAGGAAAAAGCAAAACCTGAAACAATTTCCCTGGCCCCTTACTCACAAAGGATAGATCCGTGAGGCAGTAACAGGGCATCCTTGGATCAATGATCAGTACAGTAAGAGAAGCAGCTAGTTAGCCTCACCAGTCTTTGTATGTCTTCCTGAATTTTGCTTGAGAAGTCTGAGGTAATTTCAGGTGATTTTCACAGGTAAGGGATCACAGTCAACAATCCTGCTCTACTTCCCACTTATTGGACACACTCTGAGAGAGTTATTCCATGTCACTTAGACAAAGACCATCATTGCAGATAGACGGTGAGTGAAATTAAAGTGCTCAGGTCTTATGCAAGCAGTTGTCAGGAGCAGCTACTTAGTAGCCTGTTACAAAGTGCAGATTAGCAGTTTGTGTCCTTTGAGACTGCCCGCTTGTGTTTATGCAGGTGTAGCTCTTTCCTTTTTTTCCTCAATAAACTTACCATGTGCTGGAAAACAAACAAGCCAACCAAAAACAAAGTACAGGTTAACTGTGGTCATCTGAGGAGCTTTACCACCAACTGAATGGCATATATGTTAAGATACGAGTGAAACACATCAGAAGTCATTGGGTGGTGCTTGGTTCTTCACAAGGTAACTTTCAGATAGGACACAAAGGAGAACCCATTGATACACTAAGTTTCACAAACATGTATCTAATACCCATTATACCAAGCCCTGGGTATATGCTCAGAGTATGTGGGCAGCTTGCACAGTAATTCCAGCTCTCTCCTATAGGCTGTGGTCAGCATGACCACACCTGATATCCAACAAAGCCCATAGCTCTGTAATCTCTGTGTTCAGTTTGACCCTCCAGGGAGCACCAGCAGGAATTTGTGAGAAAGTTGGCTGAAGAGTTAGGGAAATATCCTCTGTATATAGATGACAACAAAGCCAAGCCGGGACCCCACAGGAACTGAACCCAAGAGTCAAATCTTATTAATACTGTGAATTAATCAACAGGAGTAACTATTCTACAACCTGCTACTACATACCGGACCTTGCATTCTCTTACTACTTCCAGAATCTAGACCAGACCCTGGATCTTTTACAGAATACAATTATGAATGCTAGTTGAATGACAGAAAAGGAAAAAGTCATTTAACTACATTTATTTTTGAAAGGTTTTGTACCTTCCAAATTCCTAAATTCTTTCAGGTTCCAGTTCAATGTCACTTGTCCATGATGTCTCACCCCACTCACAGAATGTTCTCTCTAAAAGCATGACGTTTCTTCCTCCACTATCGAATTACATTCCATTCTATTTGATTATACATCTCCTTTATTTTCTATCCTGCTGGAGGGCAAGGGCCCTATCTTAATTACCATATTGCCAACATCTATTGTGGTAGCTGCCTCAGAGCAGCGCTCTCGAAAACAGTCTGAAAGCACATTCCATAAGTGACCTGTACACGTTCATGCTGCTAAGTATTTATGCTTCATCTCCCTAAACAGATTGTAGGTTCTTTGAAGTGATGACTTACATTTCTTTCTGGTAGGTCTTTCCATTGCCCATGAAGGAGAAGTGAGCCAAAAAACTATTGATTTGTAACATATTCCTACAACTAGAGTCTGTGTTTCTGACCACGGATGAATCAATCTTCTTTTGTTGAAAAATTTAAAGTCAAACTCAAATTCATCCTATTTGCTTTAACCAGATCTATATTTGGAGCTGTAACTTTATATTCTAGAGACAGCAGGGGAGAAAGAAATAAAAGAACTGAAATGATCAGGGCACATTCACACTCTCTGCTCTCATATTCATGCTTTCTGTGATCTTCTTATTCCATAGCTTTATTCAGCTTATATTTTAAACAGCAATTGATCTCCATTCAAATTCACCTGTGTGATGGGAAGGTGGTCTTGTGATTGTTAGATCCCCTTTTTCATCACCATGTATTTCTATAATTCATAGTGCGTGTGTATATATAGAAATATATATATACACACACAATACACACACATATGTCTGTGTGTATATATATGTATATATACATTTTATTTTTCATGAAATCCAACTCTCAGGCTAAGCTTTTAGGTCAGACCCCACAGCTAAATATCACGTTGTCTTCTGTTGTACTAAAATAAAACCTCCTGACTGTTGTCAGATTTCAGATAGGTGGTTTCCAAACAGACTTTACTATGTGAGATACAATAAAACAAAGACAACACTTACCATTTCTAATTTGGAAAAAGAAGCTAAATTAGGGCCTCCCTTGTGGCCTAGGGATTGGGTCTTAGTGCTATCACTGCAATGGCCTGAGTTCAATCCCCAGGCAGGGAGATGAAACACATGGTGCAGCAGACCTCTCCTGTCTCACCAGCTGCTCCCCTCAGCAGTTTATTTCAGTAGCTCTGCCTGTTTTGCTCCCCATTCTGTCTCTGGTGAATCCTCTCATCTCCCCTGTCCTGTACCTCTGTCCTACATCCCAGTTCTTGTATGCATAAATAAATACTTAAAAAAACCCACAAAATTAAATTAGGAAGTGATTGTGCAGCTCTAGGCACTTTATTTTTTCATGATAGAAAGCCAAAGAATCCATGGCATCTTTCTTGGACTTGACATAAACCTTAAACCAACGAATAAACTTTTAATAATGAGACTGAATGTGTATGAGTTGGTAATAGAAATGGACTCTAGAACTCAAGTATAAAATCCTTGGTACTGGCTCTTTCTGTAGCTGCTGCATCCATATGGTACAACATAATAATAATAAAAAAAAAAACAATACCTTCAGCAAGAGCTCTATAACTTCTGTGTGGACAAGTCCATGCACCGGCTCTCCATTGATGTGTGTAATGAGGTCGCCAGCTTTCAGTCCTGCCTGGCATGCTGCACTTCCTTCTTCTACATTCTAAAGTCCAAGAAGAGAATATACATTGGTAAACAAACAAACAGGCCTTAATGCATAGATTTGTCTGGCAGAGTATTCTGAAATAATTAGCAAATGATTCTAAGTTCCTAAGAGAAAATTAGGAAATCAAAAGGCATGTTTATGATTCCCATTTTGTCATCCTAAAAATTAATAATTCTGATAGTTCTTTAAAAAATTTCAGGTGTGGGCCTCCCCGGTGGCGCAGCGGTTGAGCGCTGGGTTGTGAAGCTGCCCGTGGCCTCTGCGGCGCCGGTTCGATCCCTGGCTGCTCCCCGGCCACCAGAGGAGGGTCCCACATGGCGCGCAGACCTCTCCTGCGCCCGCTGCTCCCCTCAGCAGTGTACTTCGGTCCTTCTGCCTGCTCTGCTCCCCGCTCTGGCTCTGGTGAATTCTCTCACCCTCCCGCGCTTCTGACTGTACCCAGTGCATGTACAAACAAAACAAACAAACAAATAAAATAAATAAAACATGCCTCTATAAAAAATAAATAAATAAATAAATAAATAAATCCTTATTAAAAAAAAAAATTTCAGGTGATTTGAGAAGGGAGTTTGAAAAAAAAAAAACTAAGAAAAAAAAAAGAATGAAAGTAAGATGATAATAGGATTGTCTTTGATTGTTTCTACTACCAGTTTGGTAGGCAATCAAATATGAAAACTGGACAAAATCATGAGAATGAATTAGTTTTTCCTCAATTCAATTCCATCACATAAGACAAAGGAGCATTAAAAGGAAAATGAAACAGGACCCAAAAGCCAGTTTAACAGAAAGTACATTTATTGTTAACTATGCCTTAATTTGTGGATTCTCCAGTTTGGCTCTGAGTGAAAACAAATGAGGAGGAGAGAGTGCTGGTCTCACCCAGACGATGTGATGCACAGTGTAGATGTCACTGTCGCCGACATACACCCGGATGGCTCGGATGGTGAAGCCATAGTTCTTCCCGGAACTGTGGATGACGATGGGCTGGTGTGGACTGGCAGAAGCCGCTGAAGAATCTCGGCTGGGTGAGGAATCCCGTGAAGATGAAGGGTCAGAAGACAGGGAATGGGGAGACATTGGGCTTCCCAGTGGAGAAACAGCAAACATATCTGTAAAAAGCAACCAGTTGTCAAAACTGATGCCGGCCACGAGACGCCCAAGCAGCTAGCTCTTACCACGTTAGCTCTGCCAGGGTAGGGGCACTGTCCCTAAATGAATCCATTCATTTTTACTAGCAAAGTAAAGAAGAAATAATATAAAAATATTTATACTGGCGACTAGCATGGATTTCAAAATAGACTCCTACCAAGGAAACTTCAGAAGTGTCTCCATTTTAACAAGTTTTTTCAATTAATACTCGTTATATTTTCATATAGACACACTAAGACACACAAGGTTTAGCTATTATCTGTGAATTTTTATTTAATATATTTTAGTTAAACAAATCACAGATGCATGGATTTCAAGAAACCCCTCATAGACTATCGGATTCCCTAAGAGATTTCCAGGCTCCCAATCTTGTAGTAAAGCCCCTTTAACACAGCCCTTCTAAACACAAATGGCTGAGAAAGCAATGTATCAATTCACCAGCTGCTTTTTGCAATTATTATTGAACTAGTACTGATTAAAGAATCCTGATCAAGAAAACACTGAAGTTGTCTATAACAATTACTCCTTGTCATAGTTACAACTGATTCTCTTCCTATCTTACTTGCAATTCTAACAAGGATTCTGAAAGGATAATGCAAGTGAAAGAAGAGAAATTTCACGAGAGACTCAGTTCATGTTCCACAATGCCAATTCTATATTCCCTATTTTTAAGTAAATACACTTATAATTTATAATTCAGAGCGCTGCTCCATCTATGTAAATCTAAACAGATCTTAACTGCTTATGTGAAATTGTGTGCCTGTTTATGAGAAAACAATCAACAAAAGATGCTGAGGCTCAAAAGTGAACTCAGTTAGAGTCAGACTGCAAACTGCCAGGGCTACTCAGGACTGAGGAGGCACGGTGAGTACTCCAGGGCTGCAGGAAGCTGACAGGATGCATACTAACTACCATTTGTTCCAATTCTTATGCGTGTCCAGAGCAAAGCAACTAGCTGGAAGTATCACTTTCCATTCTCCTTCACTCTCTGAGTTCATGTGGCCCCTCAGTGCCCTTTTCCTGGCTAAGCTAAGGTCAGGTGAAAGGTGGTAGGTAGCTGGTGGTAGGTAGCTTCTACCTACCACACTGGTAGTAGGTAGCTTCAAAACATGCAAGCAGGCAAAGTAGACACACACGATCCAAACTGCTGAAAAGCCAGTTTCCCAATCTTTTAGGTGAACATCTGCCCCACCTTACAAGGTGCAGGCTTTCTCACCAGCTTTCAGAATTAGACTACATCACACTTACCTTCCCGACAGCAGCTGTGTGGGGGCCGCTGCCATCACTTTATAATAGTCATTCAAGCTAGGGAGTGTTTGATGGTGCTAAAAGGAACTTCTCCCCCACCCTGATATGGAATATGGTAGAGAGAGTACTATCTCCAAGAGAACCTTTGTTTATCTCTAATACTAAATTTCAAAACTGGCAACAGCCCCTTTTCTAGATGTCAGTAAGCACGTCTGCACTGCAAGCCATCTGCAATGTAACTCCACTGCAACTGTCCACTCTTCTGTCATTTGAGTGGCAAGTCACAAGCACCAGGGTGTACATTTCCTCTCTGCCTGTGGAATCACCACTGACTTTGTGATTTGCTGAAGTAAAATCAAGTTGTGGAAAAATACTGCAATGCAACAAAATCATAATTAAACCCAGTTTTCCAATATAGGCAGCAAATGATTTCACTACCAGTAGGAGGAAGCATAGCTCAACAGACAGGGTCGGGAAACATAATTTCAGAGCTGTCTGTGACTCTCTGCAACCCCAGAAATGAAAAACTTACATTTTCTGTAGCTACTTCCTCATTAATTAGATGGAAAAAAAAAAAAAAAAAAACCTATACTTCGCTTTCCAACAGAGATGCTGAAAACAGCTCTGTAAAGTGTATAAATGATGCATAGTCAAGGGAAGGAAAACTATTCAGAGAAGGGAAATTTATCACAACTTGGGGGGAAAGGGAAGAAAGCCAATACAAGAAGTTAGCCTTTGTGGGAAGGAAGCTGCCCCTTCTCCTGAGGCAGAGAGAAGGGAGAGTAGCCGCACATGCCCTCGGGAGGAGCTCGAGGTCCTGCAGGGAGTGGCTCTGGAGAGCTGTGCCAGGTACCGCCCCCCTCACTGCTTCAAGCAATCTGTGTCTCAGTCTGCATTACAAGCTGGGGGAGGGGAAGGGAACCACATGCACAAATCACACAAGTTCATGCAGTAGATGTCTCTCTACCTCCTGGGATCATGAGGGACAGGGCACTGGCAGAGAGGGACTTTGTGACTTTCCCCGAGATTTTCTTTTTTTCTGTGCTTTCTAATCGCTGCCGAGCCATGTGAGAAGCGGGTTCACTGGATGGCTTTGAGGAATTATCTGTACTGTCCACACACTCGCTTCGTCCATTTATCTGATCCAAGTGCTCTGAAAAACTGCCAACTGCACAAAGAAGAAGGGATAAACATGTTCAGGAAAATCTGGGCTAGGAGAGGTGGGGAGAGGCGAAGAGAGAGAGAAGGAAGGACAGACACTGGGAAACATACTCCCACATGATTAGCAAGTCCATCTGGTGTCAGGCACACATTTAAAACACATGACTGGTTTGAAAAAGACGAGGAAGAGAGGAAGGACGTGTCCATTCAGGTTTTATTCTACTCGTACACAAGTTTGCTCATTCTCAGTCAATGAGTCCATCTAACTAGGAAAAGAATGAAGCTAAATTTTATAACCCTTGTAGTGATAACTCTTTCCCCTTACCATGAAAGGCCACGTATGAACCAAGCATCACCTCATGGATCTCATGAACACCAGTTTTATACTACAATAATCTCTTGATGCTAACCATCATCGTTAGTAATGCTGTTAATAAATTTTTTGAATCATTTGATCACCCCATGTAGGCTTTTGCCAGTGTCAGCTCATGGGGAACACATCACACTAGACTCAGATGTGCACCTTACAAAAGTACCTGAAGAGTCTCCTTTGACTTCCACACATATGGCCTCCTGCACTGTAAGCTTCTCGGAAAGTTCGTAGAACAAGACTAAGGACATTACTCACTACATCTTCCAGGCTTCTAATCTGGATAGGGAGACGATTGTCTCTCTAAGCCAGATTTTCTTTATTTTTAATTTAATAAATCATTAGTCAACTAAAGTGGGTTTTCCTGAGTTAAAAAAGGTGAATGCTTCCCTCAGCAGAGGTGGGTCAGAAGAAAATATATCCATAAAAGAGGATGCAGAAATGGGAAAGCACTGATGTCAGTCTGGCCAAGAGAACTAAAGTTCCTGAGAAGAAGTGACATGTCAGCATTCCAGAGAAAACATGAGTGGCTGTCCCTTTTGGTTTCTCCTATTCTTTTTTCACAAGCTATCAGTTTTCTTTTTGTTTAAATTACTGATAACACATCATTCTTCGAAAAAAGAGAGAAAACGCTTCTCTCATTTTCACTGCTAAATGCCATTTAAAAAATGCTTCTCTCATTTTATTTCTAAGATATACATTAAGCCCCTGATGCTTTAAAAATCATCATCATCATCATCTTAATATATACAGTTCCTACAGAGAATTTAATTGCATTATGAATGATTCTTTGAAAGGCCAGCCAGCCAGCACATTTTAAAGTGTGGACCCTATGGCACTGTTTGCCTAGGAGAGTGTTAGGTTTAATTAGACTTAACGAACATTTCTGTCACCATTGAGGTTTGGTGCTACTTCACCAGAGGTGGCATAGACCCAAAGTCGGTGTCCATGCTAAGGGAAGCCCATGACTCAGGAGAGCAGGCTGGAGCCCAGCACAAGCAGTGCCCCTCTCTGCACTGCAGGCACAGAAGATGATTCACGAACTTCCATGTGACACTCAAATGACCTATGAAGGAAGACAACCCTAGTGCAAATATCAACAATCTTTCTACTTTTGTATGCCAGACACAGTCTCACTGAACAGTATAACTATTCCATTCACTCTAAATAAAGAAATCAATTGCTGACAGACTTGATAAAAACTGCATTCAAATAAAAAAATCTCATCTCAAAAATTTAAGTTTACTCGGTAAATGTAAATTACTCGGTAATTTACATACTCCCTTCAACTCTTTCTATTGATAGTTTGGCTAGGATGGGATCACTGATGAATATAAAATGTAATTCCTTGGATGCATTTCAGTGTTACATCAAAAACTAAGACTTTTTACTTTTCACCTATTCAAATAGAATGCGGTCATGAAAAATGAGAAACAGGTATACGGTTTTATGTCCCTAAATACCAGAGTGTGAATATACAAAGTTCTCTTTTCTCATCCCTCCCTCCTGCCTCAGCCTTCTTCAAAGCACTGTACATAAGCGTGTGTTTCCTTTCTACCAATGGTGGATAATGTCACCTTAATGTTTTATAAATGTCAAGGGTTCTTTCTTTTTGATGGTGGAGCAATATAAAAATCAACAAATTTAATTTTACTACAGTCACGGTTTTCAGATTCCCTAATTGCCCTTGGCTATGAGCAAAGCAGCTCATCTCTCTATTCTATACAGCCCCCAAGGTCTTTGATTATTTTTAGTGTGTCTATGTGGGAGACAGAGAGAAAGGTGGTTTGAATTCATTAATCAAAATACATGGCAGGACCTAGGCAGATTTTTTTTTTAATTATGAAAGTAATCAATCAAATGCTTGGACACCTTCCTCCCCACCTTTACCGCCTACCTTTCTGATAGTGAGTGGGCTGGAGAGACTGAGAGATTACAAACACTTCACCACAATAAGAATAAACTTTAACTGGAGACAAATATTTCCTATTCTGAGTAAGATAATAACCTAAAAAAACAGAGAGTGATCTCAGTAATCAGAAATTTTAAATACTGAGATAGCGCTACTTGATTTGACTACCAGGATAAAATAAAAGTAGTCAGGAATCTTAGACTACTAGACAGTTTCTATACTACTTCTACATTCTATTTTCTGGGCGTTGTAGAATTAGGGAAAGTAGAAATATCCTCCATGGAAGTAGGACCGAGGTGAAAAAGAGAGAAAAAAATCCAATATTATTTTTTCTTCGTGAAAACTGCAAGTACATTGGAAGTTGCACAAAACTAAACATTTAGTGAAATAAACCTAGCCAGTACAATCTGTTCTTGAGATGGTTTTTAAAAGGCTATGAATATTCAGTTAGTGGCGGGGGGGAAAGTTCATGATAAAGCATGAAATCATTCATGGTTATCAATATAGCATATGGTTAATGAAAACATTTATTACAGCAACCGCAAGCCATAGCCATGTCTTATTTTTTAAGAAAACCTAAATGCACATTACCCCTGTAGAAGGGGAGGTAGTGCATATAATTTTTATAAGCCAAATAATATTTTAAATGCACCAAAAGCACTTGCTCTGAGGGAAGTACAGGTTTGGTTAACTAATGAGGACACTGCCACAGTTAAGGGCCGGCAAGTATCCCCAACGCATCAAGTGTTTGCTAGGAAGGTTACTTCCCACACAAGTCACATTAGAAAGTGCTTTGCAGAAAAGGGCCAAGTCCCTCGACTGCCTCCCAAAGGGTGATACATGTCTCATGAGTTTCTTCCTCCAGACTGGGAAGGTCATCTCTGTCTGCCATGGAGCTATCTCCTGTATGCGTGAAAAGCACTCTGAGCTGTGCTGGGCTTTCTGACCTCCTCTCCCTGCTTCATCCAAGATGCACAGAAGGCACCTGTGCAGTTCACAGTGGAAGCACCTTGCTACACTGAGCCTAGTGTGGGCCCTTAACAAAAATCAGCTCCTATAGACAAACCACCAAACTTTCCAATACTAGAGAGAAAACTGTCCTAACACTGCACCTGGCAGGGGATGTGAAACACCTCTGAGGGTAATTTTGACCAGCTGAGTTGTGATATCGTCCCTTACCCCTAACTTTGAGGAGATGCAATATCACAAGACATGCCTTTGCATCAATAACCAAAAATAGGTTCCCTTAGTGTGCTCTGACTGCCACCAATGTATCTCCCAGAAACCTGGCTGTGAAAACCAAGGGTGCCTCCTAGAGTCAGAGGGCGGCTAGCCCGCTGTGCACTAAGGAGTAACCTGAGCCATCTGAGCTAGTAGTTAGGAATTCATCCCCAAGCCCAAGAAGGGGGGTCACAGAGGGAGTCTAACAGCACGAAGCACCCGTCACAGCCGCCTTGCACTCCAAGCACGCAGTCCATTCTCAGCGTGATGGATGATGTCTGATGGTGGCGCCAGGCCTTAGGCTTACCTGACAGGGTGGAGCTGCTGATGGTGCTGGCTGGGGTGGTGACCTCGGGCTCCTCCTGAGCACACTCTGCAGGAGGAAGAACTGGCTTCTCTGGCTCCTCATGGGGGTCTCTGGAACAGGGAGCAGCTTCATCTTGTTCTGCCTCTGTTGAAATAGCCAGTTTGGGGAGCAGACCAGAGCTGAGTTTATGTCTGTTGCTGTCAGTATCTGAAGAGTTGGAGGTGGATAACTGTTGCCTTAATTAAAAACAAAAAACAAAGTCACGTATACACACCAGGAGACTGTGTTCCAAGAGAATTTTGGAAGAAACTTGGAACTTGGATGAGCCAAGTGCAGGGTTTTGTGAAGTGCTTTACCATGACAAGTATCACCTGGGAACTTGTGGGTTCTCAGTCCCATCCCCGACTCCTTCCCAGGTCTACTGGATCAGAGACTTGGGGAATGGGCCCAGCAATCTGCACTCACAAGCTCACAAGCCCTCCAGGTGGTTGTGAGGCATCCTAAAGATTAAGACACACTGCTCTAGTGGCCACTGCCAATGATATTTCTTAACAGGCATTTCACATACATTTCAGAATATTCTGAGCTCCAGCTTAAGGTCTCCGTGGACGGCAGAGTTGTACTTTTGGTTTTGTCCCCAGGGTCTTCCTTCTCTTCTCCTGAAGTCTGAGTTATTCGATCAATACTGCTGAAAACCTGGAAGGCAAGTAGTCAGTGTTTATTAATGTCTTCTTGAAAGAGTTTGTCAGAAAAATACCCCAAATCTTGGGGAAAAAAACCTGAGAGTAAGACATGACTACAGTTAAAATTGGGACCGTGGATTGAGAAAGTACTTTCCAATTCTTTCTCCTCAAGTTCTGGGATGAAGGGTTAATGTATAATTTCCTTTTCTTTTGGAGTGGGGAGTTATGAATTCATCACCCTCTCAGCACAGCTTGTGATAGATATCTTGGGGTTTCCTGGCCTGGGATCAATGCACACACACATTACATTTCTTTTTAACCATAAAGTCAATCAAAAACCAAAAATCACAGAGAAAAAGATTTATTAGCCACAAGTCAGGATTGGGAAGGAGAAAAATGAATTGGAATTGGGTGCAAAGAGAATAAATTAACTGTTTCAAGATTTGCGTGCCTGGGGTATGTCGGTGAGACGCATATTTGGTTATGAATCAGGTATTTGTTTGGCTGATAAATCACATTTACAGATAGGCAGCTTCCTACGCTGGTGCAGGGATTTCGGAAGAGGATCTGAGCTTGGGCAAACCCAAGATCTCAGCCTACCTCTGACCTCTGCTGTACCACAGGAAAGATGGAAGGTACAACAGAGGCTGAGAGTCCAGTAATGGAAATATTTCCTACTCCCTGACTCAGCACTGGCTGTTCTCATGGGAATGGCGCTGTGACCTCCTAGAATCCACTGAGTTTAGAGAAAGATGGCTAAAGAACAGAAGCCAATGGGAAGGAAAGAGTCTTTAAGGGTGGCTGTGGTGGGTCAGAGAATAGGTAGGGACTAGTCCTGCACTCTGCTCTCCTGGCTCTAGGACAGACTTCCTACCACTCCCTGCAAGGGACTTACCTGTCCCTGTCATTCCTAAGAACAAGAAGGGCAGTGCTGGCCAAGTTGCAGATGCAGTCTAAGTAGTTACTTAGAAAAATGGCACAGAACACTGTAAATTCACCACATGCTACAGAAAAGCTAAACAGCAAGCATGCAAGGTGCCGCAGCCACAGGGAATGCCCAGTTCTGAGAGCAACAGAAGGAAGAGAGGAAACCCTGGGTGTTCATTTCACTTTTTCAGAGCCCTACATTCACTCAGGACTATCAGGTTTCTTTGTTTTGTTTGTGTTTTATCTTAACAGAAAAAAGGCATCTTTCTTCAGCATCAATTTTATGACCATGTTCTATTTCCCAAATTCTAGGCTGCCTTCCTGTTCTCTCTTTAACACAGTTTACAGATTCTGTTATTGGTTATGTGACTTTCTCAGTCCACGGTTAACAGACTGCAAGTGTCTCTGCTTATGTCAAGAACTGAACTTCTCCTTTGTGTTTTAGTCTCTGTAAAATGAGGAGAGGGCTCCTTACACAATGAGCTCAATGCTCCTTATTAGGAGATGAAAGAAATGGTGGGCGGGGAAGGGAGAACCCAGCCTGGCATACAAGGCAAGGTTAGCATGCAAATGGCTATCAGTACTCCAAAAACATGACTAAGCGCAAATCTGCACCTCTAAGAAAAACGAGATAATAACCACGGGAGAGTGAAATATAGAAATGTACTCCTGGAGGGGGGCAGGGGCTGTGGATTATCAAGATGATGGTGTGGTGATTTTTCCTAAACAAAAAGGAATTTTAAGGCCTCCCCGGTGGCACAGCGGTTGAGCCCTGGGTTGTGAAGCTGCCCACAGCCTCTACAGTGCTGGTTCAATCCCCGGCTGCTCCCCGGCCACCAGAGGAGGGTCCCACATGGCGCGCAGACCTCTCCTGCCGCCCGCTGCTCCCCTCAGCAGTGTGCTTCGTCACTCTGTCTGTTCTACTGTCCGCTCTGGCTCTGGTGAATTCTTTCACCCTCCCATGCCTCTGACTGTACCCAGTGCTTGTATTTAAAAAAAAAAAAAAAAAAGGAATTTTAAGTACAGGAGACTCCCCCACTCCGCGAACAGAGTAGATGGTTTTTCTAATCCTCTCCTGCTGTTGAGGAGTCACTGGGAGATCATCCTAGAGCAAGCCCATTGTTTTAAATCATATTTCACTTACTTTTGAAAATCTATGTGAACATGAGGAAAACTGCCTTATTTCTACGTTAAAGTCTTCATCATTTGTGTCATCTTCTTCCTCAGTCTCCATGTGGTGATACTTCTCTGACCGAGCTGCAGAAAAATGTTTGGGAATAATTCCAATTACTGAGAATTCAGCTTTTAATTTAGATATAGTATGAGTTTCTACATCCACATAGCATTATGTTTAAGAACCCTCTGGTTCTAGCAGAAACGGAGAGATAATTTTCTACAAAGTAAAGGCCAAATAATGATTTATGTCAGATAGTGTACGTACTATCAAAATAACTTGTGTCATCTTCGGATTCCAGTTGGGGAATAAATTCTGCCTTCTGTCTCAGCAAACTGTTCCAGTCTAAAGAACGGAAGAATCGATGCTGTTTGACTTCATATGCACCACCTGGGGGTGAGAGAAGAGGGAAAGGACAGAGGGGAAAGTGTTAAACTATCCTCTGAGCAAACATAAACATAAAACAACAACCACAACAACAAAGAAACAGTCAAAAAGACGTATTAACAGAGAAATGAAGACTGCATGGAAAGCTTGCTTTTTCAGTTAAACAACCAAAACCTCCCAAAATCTTCCCCATAATTTGTCAGCAGGAAATCTGAGTTTGTTAACAGCAGTTGCCATGGCACAGTTTTTCTTTGTTAATTTTTCCATGACGCCCTCCATTTTTCAAAGGTTAATGATGCGGCCACTTAAAATCACATTATGCTGAACCGAGGGATGTGGACTCACGTTGGCCCAAAGCAGCCTTGCTCATTATCAGCCCACAGAAATTCTAACAAGGCACAAAATGTGTTCACTGCAACATTTTCTTTAGAGGTAAGGTTAATAAAGATGAATTTTTCCTAAATAAGATACAATGGCTACCATTCAATACTATTGGCTTGTTGATTACCATAGGTAGGAATTAGATTGCATAGAGGCCTAAGAAAACAGCAAACCTGTTTGGCAAATTTGTAATGCAGGTGATGAAAACCAACCGTAATTCCTAAGCTTTATACTTCTTTTTGTTGAGTTAGCAGGATAGCACGATTCAATGAAATTATGTTTTTAATTTAGTTTTTAATTATGTTTTTAATTTCATGATTTTAAAGAGTAATTTTGAAGGGCAGGTCCTATCCAAATACTTTTACACTCCAACCCAGGTAAGGAGAGGATACACAAGTTCTAATAGCACAAGATCAGGCCCCTGCCCTGCCACCAACACAAGTTGATGAAGGAGATGAGGAGGAATTGAATCTGAGAAAACACCAGGAAGAGAGATTTTTCACAAGACTAAGACTAGACTCTAATAAACCTCCCCAGTAGGAAATGCCCCTCTAGGTGTGATACAAGTGCCTCTTTAGTGCAGCTATCACCCCTCCTTTTCATCTTGGCCACAGTGGAGTGCAGAAGGACCAGGATGAGAAATGCAGCTGAATGGAAAATTGGGCTTGGCTCTTGGGTGCGGAAGCTGCCTGTGTGGTAAAACGATGTGGTTCTGTCCCCACAGGCCCCACAAAGCACAGGTCAGCTGGGGTTAGAAACTCTGTTGGGGGAAACCAGTGCTCTAAAAACAATGGGTAAGAGAGAAAAGAGCAAAGTGGAAAATCACACCCTAAAAAAGGGAGAATGGATTTTTTACAAAAAATATTTGATAAGCTTTTATCCAAGAGTCTCCATGCTCACAGCAGAGTACTGATGTCTGCTGCTGACCACAACAGCAATAGCACTGGCAGGTAGGATCTGAGGGCTGACTTTGTAAATATTCTACTAGATGCAAAGAGCTTCTAGATTACTTCAGTGGAACCACTGAATACAATCCCACCACGCAGGCATTACCAGCTTCATTTTGGGATGGGGACGCTAAGGATAAGACATGAGTTAAGGATCAGCTGAGCAGAGTTCTGTCTAACAACACCTTCTCCACGTTTGGTGCCATGGTGCCATAACCCACGTGAGGGGAAGGCATGTTTAGTTTGCGTCCTACCCTGACATCTCTCTTCACTGATTTGCAAATGGATTCCCAATTGCGACTACTGGGGAACCGAGCCTAACAGCCAAATTCTGAGGCTGCCCTCATGACGCCTCTGCATAGTTCAACCCCAGTCTTCCATATATCCTGGCTATCAACTAGTCCAATTAATATCTCCAAATGCAACTGCCACTGACATTTTCCCCTAGGCCTCTTTTTTTTTGGAGCAGCTAAAGGGTTGAAATGTTGATCTCTCATGCTGCTGAGTCGAGTCACTTCATGTCTGTGTACTGTACTGCAAGGATTATGGCTTCAGCCGCTGCTCATGGGTCACACCAAATGACAGTTTTGATACCAGGTCACACACTTTTACCCAGAAAAGCATAGTTCTCCAGAGTCACAGGCTGCAATGGCACTGCTAGACCACATCCCGTGTGAAGTTTTTCTCTTCCCTGCCTGCCAGCCTTTGGGACCCAAGTCAGTGGAAATGTTTGCTTTATCTCTATGGATGGTGACAAAGGGGTCCTTCCCAAGGAATCACAGCCCACTGCTAACCCTGCTCACAAATCGCACCCTTTGGCTTTTGTGCCCCACTGAGAAGAGGTTGCTTAACAATGGGTTCTGTTTCTTGTGTATTTTTGCAGAGATGGGTAACAAAAGAATTAAAGGGAACTGTGGGGTGGAGGAAATAACCCTCGGGTTAAACTTTCAGCGCAATATGAATGACAGTATTATGAACCAAACACTAATCATCAGTCAGCAGACCTCACACAAATGACAACATTCACTGTCAGAAGTCCTTTGAAGGGAGTGGAAGGAAACCGATCATTTCCTAACCTCATCTTATGTATCAGATCAATGTACTAGATCTCTTCAAGCACATGTTTGCATTTAGTCCTAACCATTATTTTGAGTGAGGTGAATTCCATGTCCATTTTCAGAGCATTGAAGAAACTACTCAAGACCTTCCAGTTGGCACATGGCTGGGAGTTAGTCACATGTGACCAGCTCTGAAGTCAGATGAACTGGGCTGCCATTCAGTTCTCTACAAGTATAAGGGTCTAGTTCAAAGGAAAGTCTCTCCAATAAATGCTGCTGGGAAAACTGGACTGCCACATGCAAAAGAATGAAACTAGACCACTATCTCATAACCATGCACAAAACTCAATTCGCAATGTAAACAACTTAAAATATCAAAAAAGAACACAGGCAAAACACTCTGACACAAATATCAGAAATACCTTTGAGAACTCATCTCCAGAAGCAAGGAAAACAAAGGAGAATATATAAATACCTGAAACTATATCAAACTAAAAAGCTTCTGAACAGCAAGAGACAATAACCAAAATGAAGAGCTGCCCCCACAAAGTGGGAGAAAATATTTGTACATAATACATCTGATAAGGGACTGATAACAAAGATCTACAAAGAGCTCATACAACTCAACAAAAACAAACAACCCAATCAAAAAATGGGAAGAAGAGCTAAATAGACATTTAACCAAAAAAAGAAATACAAATGGCCAACAGATATATGAAAAAATGTTCATCATCACTTGTTATCAGGAAAATTCAAAAGAAAACCACAAGGAGATACCACCTTACACCTATGAGAATGGTCCATACTAAACAATCAGAAAAAAGTGCTGGCAAGGATGTGGAGAAAAAGGAACCATCTTACACTGCTGGTGGGAAAGTAAACTAGTCCAGTCACTATGGAAATCTGTGTGGAGGTTCCTCAAAACACCGGAACCCAACTATCCCAATACTAGGAATCTACCCAAAGAACACAATAATACTAATTTGAAAGGAAACCCGCACTCCTGTTTATAGCAGCACTATTTATAATAGCCAAGATATGGAAACAACCTAACTGCCCCCAAACAGATGACTGGATCAAGAAGATATGGTATATACACACAATGGAGTATCACTCAGTGATCAAAAAATACATACTCATGCCATTTGAGGCAACATGAATGGAGGTGGAAGGGATTATGTTAAATGAAATAAGTCAGGAGAAAAATAAATATTGGATGGTTTCACTCACATGTGGAATATAGTGAACCCAAACACAGGGTAAGACAAAGACAAACCTTGAAATCTGACCATAGATTTGAGACATCCATGAGAGGAGGGGGAGTGAGTAGGGAGGAGTGAAAATGGGGGTGAGGGGGTGAAGAGCACAAGGGAATATGGTGATGGACTACGGATGCTCTGGTGATAGGAGAAATACCATGATCACATCTGGGGGCAGAAATCATATATTGTCCACAAATTAAATTAAAAAAAAAAAATCTAGTTCAAGTACAACAAGTTCCCAAATTGCAAGTTATGCTTTGGCACTAATGTTCTCCCTTGAGTTTTTCTCTCCTTTCATGGAAGTTTCTTAAACATCCATTATGTTCTTCACACTCCTTTTCTCAGCCCCTCTAGTCTCTCGGGCAAATGTGCATTCGCACATTTTCACGGTGCATTATTTTGCCCGCTAAATATGCATTAAATCCAAAATGCTGTCATTGGAAGCAGCATGGCAGGCCTGCGGGAGTCTCAGTCTCATTCTCTGGGTCCTACTGGGACTGTCACATTGGACCTGCCTGTTTGGCAAGCACTTCTTGACAATGCTAAGAGCTTGGGCAGGGTCTTTAAATGTCTCTTTTGAGCTTCTGCTAGGAGATTTGTTTCTTAAACTGTCAAGCCCTGAAAAGACCAGAAGTAGCAGTCAAGGAGAAAATGTGCTGAGCGATAACGCAGAGCATATCAAATATAAGGACTGCTGACCATCATCACGGCCCTGTCTGCTAAGTCAAGTATAATCAAGAATCCAGTACTCTCAGAGAAATGGCAGAGAGGAAACTCTCATGACTGACACATGGATACTGAAGGGAAGGGACTCCTCAGGAGGGTGTGGCCATTTTAATACATTAGTAGTCATACCTAAGGACAACACTTGTCTGGGACAGTTTATTAGGACGGACAAAGAGATAGTTGTATTGTTGCTACTCGTATTTGGCTCAAGTGAGTACAAATCATTGCTCAATACTTAGGCTCATACAGAAGCTTGACACCAATTCTTTGACAACCACTCAGATCTCTTGAACCATAAAGTAAATCTGACTGCAGGTCACAGAGGGTGGGAAAGAACAAGTTTGCTAGTCACTTCAGACAAGAGGAAAACCAAACAGGGTGGAAAGAAAGCAAAGTACAGTAAGTCCTCACTTAACATCTTTGATAGGTTCTTGGAAACTGCAACTTGAAGCAAAATGACAGTATAATGAAAACCATATCCTTAAAGAACATTGTTTTGCACAACATCAGCCAAGATTGTTTTTTCTCATCAAAGTTATCCTGAAGTGATATTGAATGAAATGACTTATTCAAGGATCTGCTGTACTCAAAGAGTTCAACCACTCAAAGGTAGGGGCACTAGCACCATTTCTATATCTCATGTTCAAAGGAGAAAGGATGAGAGTATATATGCAGAATACTAAAAACAATAGTGTCAGCAGCAGTGTCACACCTTGTTTTAAGATAAGCCTTATATGGATGCCTCTTTTAATCCTCACAAGAATCTTGTGAGGGGCAGTACTACAAGCTCCATTTTATAGACAAAAAAGTGAGGTATAGAAAGGACAACAACATGCCCATAGTCACACAGCCATATTTTATACTCAGGTAATCTAACTCTGGAGTTTATGCCCTTAATTTCCACTTATACAGCCTTCCTTAGTTATAGATCCCATTCATCCACTGAAAAAGGGAAAAAGAACATAGTACTCCAATAACAGGTTCAACTCAAAATGTTTGCCAACGTTAAACTCAAAACATGAGCCTTGATGTTAAACCTTCTAGAATTTTCTAATCAGGGTCTGCAAGATTTTTCTGTAAAGGGATAGAAAGGGTAAGTATTTTAGGCTTTGTCCCACATAGTTTGTCAGAATCATTCAACTCTACCACTGTAATATGAAAGCTGCCATACACAATACATGAACTAATGTCATGACTGTATTCAATAAAACTTTATTTATAAAAAAAACACACTTGGGCCATGGGCTCTAATGCATCATTGTAAACTCTAGTTAACAGCAGTACATACTTCAGCAAGAACAAGAGCCCGGCAACTGGGGCAGCTACGGGCAAAAGTGGAGAAAAAAATAAGTATTTGGAGCTGTTACAAATGATTTTTGTCTTAGGAAAAAGGGGGAAGAAAATCATTTAATGTATCCTTTTATTTCTATTAAAATGGGGTAGAATAAACTAGCTCAGAGTAAGTAACCTATTTAGCCAACAATTTTTATTCATGAAAATTATGGATACTATCTGCAGTGTGTATGTGTGTGTCTGTGTGTGTGTGTCTATATTTAATATTTAGTAACCTCCAGATAAATTCACATACTGGGGCAGGCTGGGACTCTATTTTGGGATCTGTTAAGTTTGTCAATTCAGAATGTAAAGAAGAAAAGGAAAGAGGGGCAGAAACAGAAAACTGGTAGCATATCTGTCAGGAAAAATAATTAGCAAGAAACAAATCTACGACAGCCTTAATCTTGAAAGTTAATGTTTTTTAATCCTCTTTGTCAGACCATGGTGCTGACTGCATAGGGAAGGGGGAAGACAGCATAAGTCAACCCCAGGCACTCAACCTCTGATAACCAGTTTCAGAGCCTGTGGATAGAAACATGCTGGGTCAAATGCTTAGAGAATGTATAGAAAGCTGTCCTCCCCTCCCCCGCCAAAAAAGATCCACATCTCTAATCCTTGGTTTCAAATTATTTAAGATGCAAGCTTTTCAAAACAGAAGAGTTAACATGTGCCCTTGAGGTTTTCTTCTAGAGAAGTTCTATGTACTGAAACAAACTGAGAATAATTTGTTTTGTAAAAAATAACAAAACACAAAGACAGACAGCAAAAAACAACCCTCCTAACGTATACACAGCTCTGAATCAGAAAAAAAAAATACAGAACATTATTGTTATACTGTGTTGTAGTCATGTTCTACATCAACTAACAGATGTTTCCCTGAAAAAAACAAACAAAACACAAACAAAAACCTCAGAGTGCTCCACATAGACACTATTTCTTGCATATTAGCAAAATAATAACATGTGCTCTAACCTGTTCCCAGTCTCTCCAGGGGATTCTGCCTGAGAAGCAAAGTTATCAGATCCTGGGCATCGGGTGGTGGCGCCTCATCCTTTTCAGGCCAATTGATTTCATCTGGAAGGAAGAAATGTCACTTACAACTTTATTGCTCAAAAGGTGGCCCATGTCCCAAAGTATGGACACCACTGGGAATATGATAAAAACACAGGAGTTTAATTCCTGCCCCTGACCTACTGATGCAGAATATCTTACTTAACAAGACATTCAATTGATTTCTAGGTATAATCAAGTTTGGGGAGCTTTACAAGATAGGACCAGCACTGATTTTCATAGGGAGGGAGAGAAATTTCAGTGAACGGTATCCTTCATATGCTTTTATGGTTCATCTTTGTTTCACAGAATTAGGTTCCAACAAATTGTTCCTTGTAGTTATCAAGAGAACTTAACATAGTGGAAACCCTAACACCTGTGCTTCAGGTGGCTGCCCATCCAGAGAAAGTCTGAGAGTAAAATTTTCTCTCCTATAATCGCCAAGTAGGAATTTGGCCACAACCATAGAGTTTTTCACATTTGAGAAGAAAAATATAATTCTTAAAAAATATAACACTTTCCAGAGACAAAGGAAAGGTTAGAAAATACTATGACTGAAGAAGAAAAAAAATGCAAAGTAATCATAGTAATGGAAGTATTTAAAATCTGTCATAAATATTAGAATACATTCTACATTCTAAAGGAGTTTGCCTGGAGATAGGTGTGTGTGCTTGTGCGTATGGAAATGCAATAAAAACATGAGTTATTTCTGTGTGTGCCTGCCTCTAGCTTCCTCTGCTGCAGTTTAAATCTGATTTGGAAAATAAAACATGAATATGCATCTGAGCCGTAAGGCATCGAGAACAAAGCCAGCATTTGCTGCTTGTGTTAATTAAACAGTTGATTCCTCTTGCCATTCAGGCCTTGGTATATCAGAAAACAGCCTAGTTATAAATCCATAAACAGCTCAGATATTGTATAAAAGGGTTATACACTGCAGGCAACTTACAAATCTACTTTGTTAAAGTTTATAAATATGCCTGGCTTGCAGAGTCAATGATAGAAAATAATGCTGTGATTAAGGGACTCCTCATATCATTCTGGATTGTAAGCTTAGTCCAGAATGGACCAGTGTTGGCTGGTGAAGATGCCAGTGATGACTGACAAAATTTAGGAAGAGAGGCCTTTTTGATCTATGCATGGAGAAACTTATAAAAACAGCAGGTAGGGTAGTAATAGAGCCGATTTAATTATCATTTAGTTTTGCCACAAGCCACATAACAATAGTTAGGGTCAGTGTACAGGTTAAGATCTAAAGGTTATTGAATTTTAAATGAAAGATGAACAGCTGTTACAGAAATAACATTACACCATAACAACTACCAACAAAATCATTAACAATCTGTGGATTAAATTTGCTTCCTTCCCATTCTCATTATTTATTATTTGCTAGACATTTGTTGTAGGGTTATTACATTTTTGTTAATTTCTTCATTGTGCCATTAGTGATTTTTCCCATTTACGTAAATGTTACCCACATTAACCTTTTCTTCCCTGCTACAACTCTCCTATTATGGAAAGGAAGACTGGACTTAGAAATCATTTGCAACTCCCACACCAATTTCTTTTGCAGAAAAAGCACACCATACAAGTTGGTTACATTGCTAGTACAGTTCCAAATTCCATATTAACAAAACTTCCTCTGATCAATTTTCAGCACAAATTGTTCTCTTGAGATACCGAAAGTCAGTTATGTGCTATGATGACTGAATTCTTTTAATTTGTTGACTAAACTGTTTGAAAAGGTTAACATTTTAGTCGTAAAAACCATGATACTCGACAAAATTACATTATATAGAGGCTTCCTAATAGTGGCTTAAAGAGAACTCCTGATGATATTTACCACTGATGACTTGTCCAAATAGCTCTTCTGGAGTGTCCCCAAAGAATGGCACGCATCCAACCAAAAATTCATAGAGGATAATCCCCATGGCCCACCAGTCTACCGGCTTTCCATAGCCCTGCCTCAGAATCACTTCTGGTGCAATGTATTCAGGTGTGCCACAGACCTAAAGATGATTGCAATATTACAATAATTGGAATATTAGACATGAATTACAATGAGCAAGATGACTAAACACCAATTATTTTGCCCGGAGTGCACCTGCTCAACCACACAAAACCCCACAGACAAAGAATGAAGAACTCTAAGTTGGTATCTCTAGCATCAAACACGAAAACAGGGAAATTTAAAATTTTGCTCCAATATTAAACAATGTGAAATACATAATTTCCAACAGAATTCGATCCTGTTTTGTAGTTTTACTTACAATATTAAAAACGCCTGCAATCTTCAATTTAAAACAATATTTTTTATCTATCACTCTCAGAAATAGTTTTAATATTTATATGACCGAAATATAGTCTCACCCCGGTTACTTCATAAAAGCCTGACAGTTGAGATGTGTTTACCTTAAGTAACTTTACAATGAACAGATTGTGGGCACATGGTAATGAGGCATGCTCAAAGAGAAATGGGCCATGGCTCGAATTCTAGCACCCGTGATTGTATGATGCATTGTGAGTTTCACGAGTACTCTACTGAGACTCCTGAATTCCTTACAAAAACAGTTTTCCATTTGTCTCTCTCACACTCTCACTTGTGTGCAATTAGATCGTTCGTCTTGCTAATAGACCATAATGCTGGGGGAGGAATGTGGATGAGCGGACAGTTCAAAGAGGCCCAGGGAGAAAAATGGAAGCAATTTGCACTTTATTAAATGTAAGGCTGATACAGACATCTAAACCCTCAGCCCTAATGTGAAGATGGCCTACACAAACAGATGCTGAATTTCATTGACAATATCGTTCTTTGTATTTCTCTATAGAACTGAACAGCATGCAAGCTTACCTGTTTGTCCAGGAATTCTCGAGCATCCTTTTCAATATGACCCTCATAAAGATTGGTAGTCATGCTCATTAGTCCCACCTTGGATAATCCAAAATCTGTCAGCTTTATATGCCCCATGGAGGTGACCAATAAACTAAGGAGCAGAAGGATATACATTATAAAACTCACTTTGAAGCGTGCTTTTTTTTTTCTTCAGCTTTCTGCCTCTTGTCAGTTTGTAAGAATGTTTACTATATTGGTATTAAACTTACTACAAAGGCTAACCTAGGAAGACAGAGCTTCATAAGAATTTGTCAAACACTTGCATCCCTGGTGGCTGAAAATAATTCACAAAGCAGGGATGGAGACCAGGCACAGGTCCTCTCTGCTATAGTATCCACACAGTATCATTTACAACCTCAAATCCTTAGAAAAATTCAAGTATGAAACTGTGATATCCTCCCATTTTCGGAAGAAGAGAAAGGGATATCAATAATCCCACATTGCACAGCAGGAACTAAGAACCCATCTGCAATTCAGATGAGAACTAAGGTAACAGATTAATATAGCATTGTTTGAGATTTCAACTTATGGTTCAAATTTAAATTTCTACTCATTAAGTATCAAATCTACATTTCTTATCAATTTGTATCTTTATAACTTTTCACTTGAAGGGGAAAAGAATAAAATTTTAATCAATCAAATAATTGAAGGCTAATAGAGATGTCAAAAAATATATACACCAAAATTCTAATAGTTGTCATTGTTTAGGTAATATAATATATGAGTAAAGTTTTTTAATATTTTTTGTATTTTCCAATTCTTTTGGAATGAACATGAGTTAATTTTATTGTAACATTTCCTGCACATTTGAAACCTTCACACAATCTGTAATGCTTGAGAGACATTTCATATTAGGGGAGAATACATGAAAAATTTAATAAACTGTGTCAAGATGAATAGCTAGTCATTTGGGGAAAGATAGTCTATATCTCAAATCAAACACCAAAATGAACTCCACATTGATTAAAAATTAAATAAAAAATTAAATTGTGAGTAAAATAGACTATAATATCACATATATTACCTTGGAATAAGAATTATCTAAGTTTAATACCAAATATACAAACTATCCAGGGGACAATGTAACAGCATTCTACATAATTCAAAAGTTTACACAATTAAAAAAAGTAAAAAAAATAACTAACCATGGCTTTATAATAATCATCTCTTTTCTTTTGTTTCTTATAAACATGATTGCCTGTAAAGGATTATATATTTAAAAAAATCTATATGCATACTGTTAAAATAACTCATTTGGAGACATTATGGAGAATTTTTTACTGTGCCAAATCAACTTAAGAGAAAGCATTTTTTATGTACATAAGACAACTTTCTGAGTGGTGTGGAAAAACAAAAGATGTTTCATCAGTGTACATACTTGTCTGGTTTCAAGTCCCTGTGTACAATTCCATAATTATGTAGATACTCCAAAGCCAGGACAGTTTCAGCAAAGTACATCCTAGCCATATCGACAGGGAGAGGACCCATGTTCTTCATTAAAGTAGCACAGTCACCCCCTATAAAACATAAGAGAAGATGTAGCAGGAGCAGTTATCAGTCAGGATTAAGGAAGATTCTGAGTTTCAATTACAGAATTTCAAAGTGGAATGGCCACTACCCACAGATGTGGCATATCATAGTCATAGTGGGAAACTGAGTTAAATGATCACATTTCTAATTAATTTAGAATAATTCCATCATAATTTCAGGAACATGGTTACAATTTAACACAAGCATAAAGTATAAAATGTGAATTCTGGAATCAGGTTGCCTGAGTTCAAATCTTAGCTTTGACTCTTGCCGGCAGAGAGATCTTAGGCAACCTAGTCTTGTTATTTTCATTTGTGATATCAAGACAGTAATAGTGTCCTCCCTTTTAGAGTACTGTGAAGATTAAATGAGGTAATCTACATAAAAAATTTAGGCTATTGCATACACATATTAAACATGTGATAAATACTAGTTACTGTAAAAATAACCACAGCAAAGGTTAATGCAATGTGTTGGTGTAGTGAAAATAACAATGGGTGGGAATCAGGCTAACCAGGTTTGCATCTTACATCCACCACTAGCAGTAACTCTCTATTCACCGGTAAAATGAAAAGGTCAAGCTAAACAATATTCAATATTTCTTCAAGTTTTACAGTTTTGGGATTCTGTTAGAACAACTACAAGAGCTTAAATCAGAGGCTTTGAAAATGATTTTGTCTTTTATCTATTTTCACTAACTTGTTTATGTCAATAGGTCATGGAAACTGAAACACAGAAACAATGTAAAATTGATGGAAAGATGATTACTTGGAGCATTTAAAATGCCAAATTTCTTGAAAATATCTCCTGTAACCTAACTCATTTTTAATTTCATACCATAAACCAAAAAGGATATATTTTTAACTCATTCTTTAAGAAGATGAATGGTAATGAAGTTTTTATGATATGTGATAAAAACAAGTAGGAAAAAATTCCATCACTTATATTATAACTTTAATGACCAACTGAAGGAAGGCAGTTAGTATTAAGAGTTATTAAAGAGAAAAACAACCTTTTCCAAATAGCTCTAATTTCCCCTTTGTTATAGTAGAACAGGCACTTTACAAGCAATTATCAGAAGATAATGACTGGGAATACAGCCATCTCATTGCCTGGCTTCAGTTCCTAGGTGGATACAACCATTATGTGGCATGAATACAGAAAAGTGAGGGCTTATGGGTACTGGTGTCATGTTTCTGTGTCACAGACTGACTTACCTTCCACATACTCCATGACCATGCACAAGTGGCGCCTTGTTTCAAAGGAGCAGTACATGCTGACCACAAAAGGATTCTCTGCAAAAGTGAGGATATCCCGTTCCACAAAGGCCTGCTGGATCTGGTTTCGGAGGATGAGGTTCTGTTTATTAATCTTCTTCATGGCAAACCTCTGTCGGGATTCCTTATGCCGAACAAAGTAGACTGCCCTGAAAAGGAGCACAAGAGTTGGGGTTCACAGGAAGAGAGGATGCTTCTGGGTAGATTAAACGTAGGATCACCAAGTTTTTTATGTTCACATGTCAGCCAGGATTCAGCTCTAACTAATGACACAGACAGGTACAAATACGTCATTCCTAACCAAAGTCCTAGATTGATTTCTTTTTTTATTCTTTCAATAAAGGTCACAGGTCATTTTCAGGCATCAAATTCAGGCATCAAATTTCAGGCATCAAATTCAGGCATCACAAGCAAAGGAAGAGAATGGACAGTCTCCAGAGGGAGGTATTTTCCAAGAGTTAGTTTATGTTTTCAGTAGTTCCACAGACAGAACAAAATTCCATGTGTAAGTAAGAACAAGAAAGAACTAACAAAAGTACATACATATAATGAGCCAGAACATTTCTAGCATTAGATAAATTAGGTTGTTTTTCTGGTGACTGAAACAATAGTTTTCTTTTCTTTTTTTTTTTTTTGGTGTCAGTGTTACAATTTTTACTTATTTATTTATTTATTTTTAATATTTTATTTTATATAATTCTTACATCATTTTTCATTTTTACACAATGTATGCATTTTCATTTTGGTTATATTCCCCATATAATTGCACCCCCCTTATTTTGACACTAATCCTTCCTCTCCACCCCTCCCCCATAGTGTGTCTCTGGTGTATAGTTGCTTGTTGATTTTGATTTTTACTTTGTATTAATTAGTCTTTTTCCTGGTCCCTAATTCAGGTTTTTTAAATTCCTGCTATAAGTGAGACCATCCGGTATTTTTCTTTTTCTTTCTGACTTATTTCGCTGAGCATGATCCCTTCTAGCTCCATCCATGTGAAACAATAGTTTTCTATATGATATCCTTTGGGTCTGCAAAAAAATCATGGCTTCTTACAGAAATTGGTTACCAACTTGACAGTAATTTACTTTCCCTGAAATTTCCAGATATATGGGAAGTATGTAATAGGTGACCTCTTGCAATGAAGGGTGTATATTCCCTCACTCCAGAATTCCTCTGCCTACATCTATGCCTCTTTCAATAGGAAATGCATTTCTCAACATAAAAGGGGCCAATGATAGAGTATATTTCTGCTCCATTCAATTCACAGCCAAGGCATGGGCACCTTAATTGTACAACGAACTAGCTGCACTGAATCTGCCAAAAGTCTTACGCAAGTACTCTTTAAGAGTCTATTATGGCGGGATAATGACAATAGGTACCTTGAAGCTTCAAGTGATGTGGAGAAAAGAAGTAATCATTTACTTCTTCAAACTCCACCTGGAAAGGTTAAGCAACAAGAAAAATGTCTTTGATGGGCTTCTTTTCTGATAAGTTACTCCTTGTCATTATCATGGGAGAACAGGTTTGAACTCTCAGGTTAGGCAATGCTTAAATAAGTAATAATTACAAAAAAACCCATCAATCATTAGAAGTGTATAATAGGTTAAATGAGGCTGTCCTGCAACAAATGCAATGATCAAATAAGTAATAATTTACTGAAGAAGCAATCAATCACAGTAAAGTCTATCCAATAGCCTGCCTCCTAAATGGAATGCTTTGGAAAGTATTGATAAATGTGAGTGTAAAATTCCTATTGATATAATATGGTTGAGTTTTGCAAAAATTGAGGAAATAATAAAAATCTAGATTCCTATAGTTAGATTGCTTCAAGCTCTTCCTTCACTTTTAGAAAAATTAAAAGTGGAAAGCAGAATAAAACAAATTTTAAGTATGACATATATTGGCTTTCCTAAAATAGTCTTACATTAAAGACTAGGTAAACTTAAAAATATTTAGGGTAAATTACAATGTCAAAAGTATATAGCATTTCTTATAATTCCCTTCTTTGATCAACTTTTAAATTAACCAACCAACCACTCATCTTTGTGAATCAGATTAAAGGTTTTGACAAAATTTTTCTTTTTCTAATTACTGATTGGACAAAATCAAAACCAAAGACTTGAGCATCTCTTAAACAGATACTGCTAACAGGACAGATAACAAAGGGAATGCAGAAAAGAACCTGGCCTCTTCTTTAACATAAGATAAACATTGGTAAATAATGTCATGGAGTCAAATTTTTAAAACAGACTCATTTTTTTAAAAGAAATTTAGAATTTAAAGGTTAAACACAAAAAAATCAGTATCTATATAAAGTCAATTGGAATACAGCTTACTTTACATCTTCTTTCAAAATTTAATATTCAGCAAGTTTTGTACTGAGGTCCTTCAGTCAAACAATATTATGAACTTCACTTTTAGACTGTCAGAGGTTTGCATACTGATTTTTGATAAAGCATCACCATTTCTTGCATAAATAGCTATTTAGTATGCTTGAGGTCAATAAGAAATAAAGAAAGAATAGAATTGTATGTGATTTTATTTAAGAACAAAAGAGAACGATGCCTCCAGTTGAATTTGACCAATATCTGAGCCAGGTTTCTCTGTGTCATTCTGTAAAAAATGACTTCAACCTTTACTTTCAGATTTTTAGTTCAGTCAATTTAATTTGACTTTCTCTTTTCCCTTGCCAAAATGTACTTAATCAGTTAATCCTTAGGGAAAGGTACCTAAACCATTGACAATTAATCCTATACATAGCTTAAGATATCACTGCCTCAGGACACATATCTTGATCAAGTTGCAAACGTCAACTAGACTTCTTAATTAGAATTTGCTATAGCTGGATTTTTGTTTGTTTTGTTTTACGTTCTCCATTTTTCACATTTCTGTTCAGTTTTGGGGATATTATACTGAAATTTGTTTACTTAGTGATAATTGTTGTCTTTCACATACATCTTTCTTCCTTTCCTGAAAGTCAATGTTCAGAACTGAACTGAGTAAGAAGGAAGGGAGAGGGAAAGAGAGCAAAACAAAAGAGAGACAGACAAACAGCAGCCAACAGACAGACACTTGACACTGTTAACCAGAGTTGTAAATCTCCTCAGGTTATAAAATTGGACGTAATAGATTCAGCCTCACATTTCTCTGCTTTCTGGCTCTAAGGGTTGCTTTCTTTGAAAAGGCTGATTCTGTTTCTTTTTTTTCTTACACTGGCCTCCCTGTGAAATAGGAAAAAAACTCAAGGGTGGGAAGTGATGCAAGGGGAAGGGCAACTGGAGACCCATGTTCTCTCTGAGCCAAGCTTCACTCCACCCATGCAGAACTGAGATGTGTGCTACAGGGCAGGGCAAGAGTGGGGAAGAAAAATGGCATCAGAAACTGACAGGATCTAGAGCAGAATGAATCAGTCCCATCACGAGGAGTATGAATGTCTAATGCGTATAAAATTATGCATGAGTCTGAGAGTGCAATACATGAATCCGTGTGAGTAAATCTGCATGTGGGAATGAGAGTGCACGTATGTGTTAGCAGAAAGCTGAGAGAAAAGGCAATCTAGGGAGAAAGCCTGTGGGAGTGGGGCGTCTGTCAGCTTGCACACATGGGTGTCTCAGGTAAATGACCACATCCTTTTCCAGGTAAAAGAAGACAACGTGCAACAGGGCTGGAAAGTAAAGCAAAGTTGGGGGAAAACACCTGTCAAATTGAGTTTTTTTCTGTTTTCTTTTTTTTTTTTTTTTTTTTACTTTTTTAAAATCTTAAATCAATTTAATTCTTTTCCTTGAAAATGTTCAAAACTGTAGTTAAAAAATCCAGGTGGAAGTGCTAGGGAAGAAGGACCCTGTACCTCAATTAAAAGGGCTGAACGTTCTAACAACAGAACACTTTGAGGGAAGAATTCTGCTTGGAACCAGAGTATCTGCGGACACGCCTCCGAGCCTCTTTCTTTGCATCTAGGTGGAAGTCTTCTTATCACTATCATCACAGGGTTTCCGTGAGAAGTAAACAGAAGAAACCGGTGTGGTGCCTGGCACATAATGAGTGTCAGCTTTCTACAAAGTGCTAAATTGGCATGAAGGGGCCTGGGTCAGGGACCTGAGACTTGCTGGAAACAGGAAGAAGTTGGATGTGCATCAAATCAGCAAGTTGGCTTTATAACATGAACTGTTGCAAAGTACAATGTTGAGAAAACTATGACATCTTACAGCTCTTCCAATGAGCAGGTTAGTTCCCAGCGTCTTCACCCATTTTCGAGAAATCACAGATTTGGGCACTAAAGTCACTGAAATGAGCAGCAGTCTCTGCCACAGATGCCTATGAAAGCCTCTTTCGACCCACAGAGGGGTCCATTCCTGCAGCACATTCATACGAACCTGCAATCAGCATCTTGACTGAGTGGACCAAAAGCTGTAGCTTCATTCAAATTTCAAATTAAAAATAATTAAAACATAGAGGAAATCTGCCACAAATGTAATGAGAGATTAAATCTGAGAAAAGCAAAAGAGAAAAAAAGTTTTGGCTGATTGGCAAAGGCTCCCGCAGGCAGCTTGTGAGCCCATTAATGACTTGGCCTGCGTCCTGGGTGTTTACTGATTCACAGCTTGTTTAACTTCTTGTATATTCCCAAGCATTCCCCAAAGTGTGATATACCTCGTCTACTCTACAGTGGTTTAATTGCACTACAAATGAGTTTACTCAACCAATTAGAACTCCAAACACTGCGAAGATATATGCTCAAGTTTTATAAAAGTGGTACTTCACAGATAATCCTATTCCAGAATTCTGTCCCCAATAAAATGTAGCAGTGCTCTAAGGCATAAAACCATTAAAGTCAAAATTCAGTCTTCGCCCTAATGAAGAAATTCTCAGATGAACTCCAAAACTAAAAGAAACCAATAGGTAAATAAACAAAGCCTGCAAACAACTGAATGCTAAAACAATTTTACTAGGCAGAAAAGTTTCAATGAGGTCCTTGAAGGAAATAAAATGTTGCCAAAATAAAACGTCAGAAAACATTTATAACCCATACCAAGTAATATGCCATTTGACATAATCCTGAAAACGAATCAGTGAAGCATAGAAAGCACTCACAAATATTTAAGTTCTTCACTAAGTTAATGGTGTGGAAAATATTAAAGGTTAAAAAAAGTTGTAAGGAGAGCCCTCCCTTGTGGCACAACAAAAACCGCTTTTCCCTCATCCGCTCGTGTGTGTGATAAATGGCAATAAATGTCGACGGGATTGTTTATTGCTCTTCACAGACAGATGGAACTGGGATTAATACTTAATTAAACCAGAGTTTTTGGGCTGTCTAAAATAGATTCAGGACAAAGTTTGTATATTAATTATCCTTCCAAAGTTTTATTAGTAACTTTAGAAGGATCCTGTCACTGTTCAACCCTCTGCCCTGACAAAGAAATCACGTGTCTATAAAAATGGGTCATGAAAGACATACCACTAATGTGAGCAGATAGAGCATGGAGAGCAACTGTAAAACAATCCTGCTGTAACATAAAGACCAAGAGAAATGTATTGCTCTAAATTTCAATTACCCTGGTTAAGTATACTCTACAAGGTTGACTGCTAGTTAGAGGTCTGACAGGAGGTACTATTTCTTAAGTAGTAAAACTGCATGTGAATGCATATACTTTCATATGTATTCAAATACATTCAGATGCTCACACATGGGTATGTATATTTCAGATACATACACATGTGTATACAATTTATGTAAGTATGTATGCCTATAGGGGTGCGTGTGTGTGTGCACACCCATACAACATATCCAGATGTGAGTGTGTAGGGTGGAGGATGGAGAGGGGTTGTTGACCAAGAGTCAGGTACTTTTGAACCCAAAACAGCAGAATAATAGGAAGCAGAAATTTTTCCTTCACTTTACAGAGTCCTCTTCTCTCACCCTTTGATAACTCTCAGGCCACTACATAGTTTCTTGATAGAGTAGCCAATGAAAAATGATTGTGGCTGTAACTTATACCCATCAATGAAGGAACAGTTATTTGAAAACTAAAGGCCTGATACACCATCTATTTGGCATTAAAGGTGAAGAATATATTACTCAGGTGTGTTAAAATTCAATAGAGTTCTCTTAAATTACTCACCCATAGGCTCCATTGCTAATCAGTTTAATCGTTTCAAAATCACTTTCCCGAGGTTTCCTTCGAAGTTTCAGGGAAGCATTAGAGCTCTTGGAAACAAAATTTGGGAGTTAACAAATGGTTGAAAATTCAAGAAAATGATTTTAGCAGCAAAATAAAAATATTCAGATTATATGCTCTGTTGTTTAATGTGAAATGCAGTATTCCAGACAAAGGAATCCAAGGGACAGTTTTACAGATCAATTTTCCACAGCAGTGCTGAGAAACTACTTCTCACATCATGGTCCCAGTTTCATGTAAGTGAACCCATAGTTCCAGAAGATAAAGACACCAAGTTTTGGAAAATTCCCAACTGTAATCTACTGCTGTAAACTATCAGGTGAGCTTCATGTTAGCTTTTTAAAGTTTTGAGACCTAAGTCCAAAATATCAAAAGTTCTGGTTTCACTTAGTCAGAAAAGAATGGGCTGCAGTGACTACTCAAAGGCTGGTGAATGATGTGGCTTCTCATTCCCTGGCCAGAGTGTGTCTGTCGGTTCCTGCGGCAACCTCTCTTGTTTGGAAAAGGCAATCAGCAATGAATGGGACACCCAAGATTAGAAAGCTGGCCATTCATTACTTCCACGTTTTACCATGGCTTCTATTCTAACTTTCGAAAAGTTTAAAGGGTAAGAAGAAACAAAATGTCTAGTAAAAAATATTCTCTCATACCCCATATGTATCTCAGACCTGAGTAACAGCCTCTGATCTCTGCATAGGCTTCTTGTGATTTTGGAAGAAACCCCTTGACTCTGAGGTGTGTGTCATCCTCCCCAATTCAGTGCTGTCATTTCCTGACCTGGTGTATAACTCAACTTTGAAGATTTGAGTACCAGCATTGTCCCACCTTTCTCTCTGTCCAAATTCTCTCACCATCCTGGGTGACTTCAGTGTCTATAGAGATAACTCGCCCAACACCTTGGCCCCTGTGTTACTGGACCTCCCAACTCAAGCAACCATCTCTCTCCTCTGTTAACCCTTGGGCTCTCACCACAGGACCTGGATCTAATCATTATCTGCCAACACCCCAAGACTGGGACCACTTGTTCAACCAACCTCAACTTCCACCTGCAAAGCCCTATACAAGGCCTTTTGGTCTCACTAATAATAATAGTATGCCAAGGGATGACTCCTAAGTCATTCAGATCCTCACCAAAAACTCCTCCTCCGAGTGCCAGAAGATACCATATGTTATACACAACTGCAGGTTTAATAGCTCTTTCTGGTATCTTGGAAGAACTTTAGTCTCAACATATTTAAAATTACAACAGTAATGATAATAAAATGAATAAAAGCAGCTATCATTTATTACCATTTACCATGTGATGTTCTCCTAACCACATTACACAGACTATGTCATTTAATCTTTTATAAACTTTTAAAGTATTATTAATGAGGAAACTGAGGCCCAGAGAGATTTTCTACAGCTTGGAAGAGGTGGAACCAGGTTTCAAACTCCAGATTTCTGACTCTAGAGCCTGATTCTTTGCTCCCAGGCTACATACCTCTTTTCTGCCCACCCTCAAATGGTTTCATCTTGGTTCCTCTTCTGGCTCACAATTAGGGAGACTGGCACCAGCACCCAGGAATGAGTTTCCCCTGTGCTACTGCAGCAACCTCTTTACTGTTTTCCTGTGGTCACCCTTGCCTGCTCCCATCACCCAATCTACTTTTGACATTGCAATCAGTATGACTGTTTTCAAGATGATTCTGACTGGCCCATCTCACTGCCCATGCTCCCTCCACGCCACATATACATCCTTCAACGCTCAATAGCTTCACATTATTATTTAAAAAAATTACAAAGGTGAAAAACAAGGACCCCTGTGCCCAGTTTCCACCCAAGCTCCCCAGGTCCCTACATTCTCTTGTGCTTCTTGCCCTCAGATGCACCCTGCTCCCTGTATCACAGTCTTTGCCCATGATATCCCCTTGGCCTGGAAGGCTCCTCCACCCATCTCATCCTAGTAACTTTCACACCTCAGCTCAAGTGTCATGTCTTTGGCAGAGTTTTGGACTGGCAAGACTGAGGTGGATCTCTGTATGTTGTTACATTCTTATAGCATATGACCTTTTTTCTTCACAGAGCTTTATTCAAGTTTGTCATTTTTATTTTTGTGCATGAGTTCTTTTTATTAATTTGCTTCTCCCTGAAGGGAGGGGCTAAAATTGTATGCCTAGCACACAGAAGCACAATAAATATTTGCTGAATAAAGTAATTAACAGAGCCCAAATCTGCACATGCTAATAAACAGAAAAACCAACATCATATTTCATCAAGAAATATACTTACACTCATGGATTCATCTGTTTCTGGTGTTTCTGCTGTCCCACTATCATAGTTTCCCAACTGAGCCATTTCTACATTAAAAAAAAAATAACAACAATATGACAATTATAATTAGATAGTAACATTATGCTGATGCAAAATAAAAATATTTTCTCCACTAGTAAAAAAGGAAACTCTCTGCAATAGATCCTCCATGTCTGTGGGTTCTATCAAACAAGAATTGAAACTACACACAAAGCTATGTATGATGTGCATGTTTGCAAAGAATGTGTGTAGATATCTTCCTAGTCACTAATTCCCTTAACACTACACATCACACATATTTACAAAGCATTCACATTGCATTAGGTATTATAAGTAATGTAGAGTATTGTAATGTAATTTACAGTATATGGGAGGATGTGTGTAGGGTGTGTGCAAATACTAGTTATGGGTAGGACATTCTAGAATCATTCCCTGGTGGACACCAGGGGGAAAGCTGTAAGCTGGTCATAAGAACCAGCAACTAACTATGAAATTGTTCATTACACATCTTTCCCTGGGACTGTGTTTCTCAGCAACATGAAGACACAGTACTTTAGAGACTGGGCCAGTGTTCCAGTGAGCAGGGGTCATAGCTCATGCAACCATCACAGCTTGAAAAAGGTTTTGGGATTCAACATTTGTGCTTATAATCAAATATACAAGAAGGGCAAGTCTCCCCAGGCTCTGGCAGTCATGAAACATGCACCAATATAGAAAAAGAATACAATATGAGCTCATGTATACGTGCAATTAAAACAAAAAAACCAACAGCTCATAGATACAGAGAATAGATGGATAGATGGGTGGTTGCCAGATGCATGGGCTGAGGGGAGAGCCGATTATCTGTGACAGAGTCAACAGGCATAAACTTTTGGTAATAAATAAGTCACAGGGATATAAAGTAAAGCATGGTAATAATACTATGGTGTATATTTTAAAGATGCTAAGAGTAAGTTTTAAAAGTTCTCATTTCAGGAAAAAAATTTTTCTCACTATGTGTGGTAATGAATGTTAACTATACTTATTGTGGTCATTTCCCAGTGTATACAGATATTTAATCCTTATGTTGCACACTTGAAACCAGTGTTATATGCCAATTACATCTCCATTAAAATCTTGATTCGCTGACCATAGCTCTGAAATGATTCTCATTGTGTGTAACCATTTTTTCTTCCATTCCTTCAACTCCACTGACAGTTGCCCTGCCTAGTACACCAAGAACTTAAAATATACCAAAAAGGAAGTAATAGCAGTGGTGAAGAGGAGTTCAGAGATGAAAACACTTGGGCTACTACCTCTACCAGCACTTACTAATGAACTTTTAACCTCAGGTTTTCCGTCTGTAAGTTGGAACAATATTTATTTTATCTCTTAGCGAATTTAATGAGTATGATATATAACAATGGATGTAAGGCTCTTAGCATGTTTACTAACAGAAATTAAGTGCTCAATGAATAATGACTCTTATTTATTATTATTATTTATCTCATGTCAAGTAGTCAGCCTTGGGTTGGATGCCACATGCTTGACACCAGCTTAAGTACTGCTCTGATGGTCTGGTTATGAGAGACAAAGGCATTTAATTGCTCAAATCACATAGAACCATCCCTGAGTCCACTTACATAAATCAGAAAACCTAATTAGTAGTACTATTCATTGAAAAGAACCAGAAAGAATTATTTTCAAAACTTTGACAGGGATTATCTCTGAGTGATGGGATCATGGTAATTTGAATTTGTTAATTTTTCAAAATTGAACATGCATAACAAAAATTTACAGTTTTTAGTTATATTTTTAACGTGCACCTAAAATTATTTCTTAGGCTCTTGTTTCATGTATTCATCTTCCTATAAATATAGCCATCTTTTCAGGGGAGATTATACATAAAAGACACAAAGCAAAACAACACTGGAGTGCTGCCTTTAGATAAAAATTAATGAACTCCAGATTCTATAACTAGAGATTGACATAAACTTCCCCAGTGGACCTATAGGGAAATATACAAAATAAGGAGGAGTTCAGTAAAAATTGTGTGTTTTCTTCGTGTTGTACAAATGATGTCAGTATCCTCTGTGATGAGCACTTTAGATTTACAGATTAGGATGTGACTAAATGTATTCAGTGGGTGATGTCTCAAAGACAGAGGCTATTTTAATATTGTTTAAATAAAGTAGTGCCAGCTGCTATCATTTATTAAGTGTTATGAGGTTTTGGGTAAAGAGATATACTCATATATTCCTGAAAACAACCCTGAGGTTAGGTACCATTATTACCCATTTTTATGGAATGAACACTAAGGCACAGGAGGCTCAGCACAGGTGGGAAAGTTCCCATAGCTTGTAATACTGGTGTCCAGAGTGCAGTTCTGACCTATCCCCTGCCATCTCTTCACCAGTAACCTTCAAACCTCAGGCTGTAAGCAGGTCAGTGTAATGTTGACAAGAAAGGGGAAAAATGTAGGTCAGGGTTTGTGATAGTCATATTTTAGCTAATAACAGATCTGAATCAAGAAAATTGTGTCAAGAGTCACAAACACAACTCCCAGTGATGAATTTGTATTATTGAACTTGAAATTTGTCAAAGACCACGATGAATTTTTTAAAGACCCTCTAAATATACATAAATGGGCTGTGTTCAGCCTACAGTGATATTTACTGCCAGGTAAGAAAACTGTGAAGAGCTCACTCAGTCTCCAGTTCAAGGGCTGACACAACTTGAACTACACTGGCGTGAAGACTCACTATAATACACTTTGACAGCCTCCCCCGCTCCAATTATTTTCATAAAAAAAACAAATTAAAAGATGGTTCTGTTTTAAATAGAATTTCTGCTAAATAACTATTATCTGGGAAATACATATTATTTGTAAGCAGTGGGTAGTAATGGAATGGAACCAAGAGTCAGCTTTTGAAGCAGGAAGCTAAGGCATCATTTTGTAATGCCTGAAGAGATTTTTAAAACTCATCTAAATACCATTAAACATCTGCCCTTTTTATTTCATTGATTTAAACCATTTCTGAAGACTCATGATTCAAAAAGGTAAAGATGGTAATTTAAAAGCCATGGGGAAAAATCTCTCCCCAGGGAACTTTTCAGAAAAGCATCTACCAGTCTCTGATAAGTGATGAATCTGTTGTGGTATTGCTTTCAGAACAGTATAAATTTATCTGGCATTATCTCCCAGTAATGCATGCATCATTTCACTGGAAACAAAGATACCACAGCCATAAGTGCAAACAAAGCGGGGAAGTAGGAGAGCAGGGCAGAGAGAGCAGCAGGTTCCCTGGCTTTAGATGGGAAAGTATCTGGGCCAGCATTTACCATCATTACAAACAATTTAGCAAGATAAACACCGTTTGCAAATTCAATTTAATGAACCAGGAAGACAATTCTGAATGAAGGAGTCTGTGATTGTTTCTGAGTCTTTGTAAGCAATGTATCACCTAAGTGCTTCAAATGACAATCTTAAAGCAAGATTGAACAAGAGAAGGCTACGGGAAAGGAGTACTTTACCAACATGGGATTTTTTTAAAAGCCACTAATAGGGTGCTTCCTTGTCTCTGTATTTAATAGCAATGGATCATTTGTTTTTTACTGAATCAAGCATTTTTTTTATAAACTTCTCCCTCCACCCACATTGGTTCTCTTGTACATTACTCTCATTCATAGTTTTTTTTTTGACAAGAATAAAATGTTTACTAATCTATCATCAGTTATATTACTCCCAAATTACCTTAAATTTAAATGTCACCTCTAAATTAATAACTATGTTGGCAACATTTTCAAAATTTAAAGTGTTCTTGAGAAGGACCTCACTGACGTTTGCAAGAGAAAAAGGACTCGGAGAAGATTGAAATCTAAACCCTTCTGGGACAGTCTGACATTATCCGGTTGACAGGCCTCTAGGATTTCAAGGTTGCCCCAAATTTTAGGTAAACATAAAATGGATTCTGTTCACTTGTTCCTCAGCACTCAATTATAGCTATTTACTTCAAATCACAACTGCCCCCCGCCAAATTTAGACTTTTCAATAAATACAAAACATGAAGATAAAGACTTGCTACATAGCTCTGTGAGACCATGGCACGTAGACAAGTGAAACATCAGCCCAACCAAGGTACTCACCTTCCAAAGGGTCCTTATTGAGCCCCAGCTGGCTAATGATGTACCTGGGAATGTCAGTTTTAATACCCTGTCCTTCTTTTGCATGACCTTCTGCTGCTTCCAATAGGTAGTAAAATTCTTCAGGATCAAATTCCTAGCAGTAGACAAACACAGATGGATACTTATTTAAGCCAAATTGTCTGAGGTTTTATTACATAAATCCCATTCACAATAAAATTGCTGCATATGTATGCTGTGTGTTATTTATGCAGAAAGAAGTCAAATGGCTTTTAAAAATATATAATTCTGATTTCATATAGGAAGTCTATTCGTAGTCCAAGGAAAAACACATATTACTTATTAACTCAAAGATTGTGACGATTTCCAACTTCCTGGCCACACTGAAGGTACTACGCTCCACTTAAGGTACGTATCTTATGGAAAGTGAACAGGTATGAATTTTTAATATTGCCTTTTCTAGCAAAGTTTTAAAATTTGGAATCACAACTGAAAGAACCAGTTTTTCTCTCTGCAATAATAGCTACTGAAGGAGTAAAGTTAGAATACATTATCAAAGGCTTTGCCGGAAACTTAGTACAGGGGTATCCAACAATATTAGAAAGAAAAAGCTCACCATAATTAATGAACTCTAATTTATTAATCTTCACATAATGTGAAGATTAAAAGAGAAAACTACAAAATTAATGCTACCAATCACCTCTATATTAAAATTTTAGTAGCACATTTTCCCTATGTATTTTACTTTTTTGGCTGTCTATTGTGTGTAATAGTTAATAAAATTCTTTAGAACCACATCACCCCAAATCGATATTGTAGATTTATGTATTATAAGCAATTATGCTTACAGATTTAAAGCACAGTTGCTATTTTTAGCTATAGTTCCTAGATTTTTTTCCCCAAGGACTTTTCCCATTTTGATCAATGCTCCGAATAGGGAAATTTGGAATTTTAGCATTGCACCTGAGAAATACTCAAGAGATTCTGAATACCAATAAAAAAGCTTGCTGCAAATGGAGTAAAGGCAAATCAATGTTCACACTTAGTGTCTTTTACACACCTACAATGAGAGTGAGGGCAAACTACTGGCATGAGAACACTGGTTGGGGAACAAGGGTCCTAAAACTCTGAAAATCCAGTTTCCCTAGGGTCAAAATAAGCAGGGCGTGCAATTGTATGGGGAATATAACCAAAATGAAAATGCATACATTGTGCAAAAATGAACAATGATGTAAGAATTATATAAAATAAAATATTAAAAAAATTTTTTTAAAGGACAGTTTTATTAGGAAAAAGAGAAAGGAAAACAAGAGGTATCTGCATATACACAGGTGGGCAGAAAGCAGCTGCTGCTTTTGAAAGGAAAAAAGTTTATTAAAAAAGACACAGACAGTCAGTCTTGGGACACGAACTGCTGAAACTCCAGTTTCACCTGAGCTTTTGACAGTGCTGGAAACAGTAACTTTCAGATCTCTTTGGAAGTTCACTTGTTTCTCTCTTGGAAAGGCGATACTTTTAATTTTTCTCTTCTGATTAGGAATGATTACTGTAAAAAATTCATTTCCTCTTTGAAGGCGAGATCTTCTCTTAGGCTATTTGCTGCCAAGTTTTAATGCTAAATGGTATTCTCCCCCAGATTAAACCACAGGAAGTACAGCGTGTGTTGCATAACTTAAGAGGTGCAATGGAGAAGAAGCACAAATCAAGTCTTCCTTCTGCCTACATTCGTCATTCACACTGTTCTTCTTTACAGAGATATCCAGAGCTTTCCCCGCCTTTGTCCCTCCAGAGACACTCAAGACCAAATGGTGCTTTTGATTCTGTGATTCTAAGTATCTTGGCCATTGATGGAAAATCCCACCCCATCACATCCCTGCCTTTCTCCTCATGATTTCCACTCTACCATGTCTTTCTACATATATTTATTGGCATGAACATTTTATTGTTATAAAAAAACTATGAATATTAATTTAAAAAGAGTGAAACTGTAGCCATATGAACTATATATGAATATATATGTGTAAAATTCTAAAAAAAATCTAAAAACTGTATAGTATGCTAGATTACAAAGACATAATGACTAGTGAAAAATAAGTTTTGATACTATATTAAGTCCCTTATTCTTATTTTCAAAGGTTTATATTTGTTCAAAATGTTGGCCTAACACAATCAAAAATCACATCAATAAAACAAAAATTTTAAAATTGGATAAATGATCACTGATCTAAGTAACATAGCTGACAAAATGAACAAATCTCTAAAAGTCTCGCTCCTTCTGGTCTGGATGAGACCTTATTATATTATCCGAAATGGATTGGTGATTAGCACTTAGTTCTGACATGCCATATTATAGAAACAAGTAATAATTAGAACCGCAGTTCACCATATATCACATCTCTGATTTCCCTCTCTCTGCATCTTTGCAACTCCAAAAGAGTCAGGCACTCAAGTGTTTTAAATTAGCTGTAACACAGTAATTATGCTGAGATAAGGCCAATTACCTTATTCCATAATCATCTTTCAAGTTTGAACAGAATGTGATATGACTATCACTTAATATAGCACAAGTTCCAGATAAGTATGCCATCATAAACATTTACAAGTTGTAGTTAGTTCCTCTTCACTCTTTCCATTTAGCTCTGGTCTTTTAAGCCAAATGAAACCAGAGCTTCCTGAGGACAACTGCTTCCCACAGTTAACAATAAATAATGGAACCACATCCAGGAACCACTCACCAGGCACTCTAATAACCGAGCAGGGCGGGCAATGACAATTAGAATTTTTCGAACTAGTTGTTTAATAAATGCCAACTCCCCACTTTCCGAACGATCATGAGCCTATGAAAGAGAAATGAAAAGAATGATGATACCAAGTTGCTCTATTAAGGAGAAAAGAAAATCAGCAAAGCATGCTAATTAGATAACTGCAAATATTTCAAAATTAAGTAATTTAGAAAATGCTTTTAAAATATTGATAAGCACATTTTCTGTACATAAATGGACACTATTAAAATCTAGATCTACAAAATGACTATTAGCTAAATTTTAATTGCAAAACTTTGATATATTCTCTGTGTAAAAATCAAATGTTAGAGCTCTTAATGTGAACCATGAATGAAGGAGACACTGAAAGTTTATCACACATTAAATACATAGTACAAGTAGGAGTGGGCAACTGACGAGGAATCTAGCTTTCTGGATGTAACATCTTCAGTGTATAAAATAGCTAATGCAGTGACTGTTCTTGTCTTCCTGGAACTCCTGGGCATCCATAGTCATAAAATTATTATATATATATATATATAGTACCAATAGCATAAATTAGTAGTTCACATCATTAGGACCTGTGCAGTGCTTATTTCAAATGTTAGGTGGATAATGTTTACACTTGGGCATATGTGTGTATATATATGTATATGTATATGAATTCAGTATTACATGTTAAATAAATAGCTAGGTACTCAACTCAGTAAGATTTAATGGACTCAAAATCTTTAAAGTTCATTTTACATGTTGCCTACATGTAAAATACAACTATAAAAACATCGAGAGAATGAAGCTCACTTTGTTATAGACATTTCAGTTTTAAATGATATTTTCTTGAGGAAATGAGGCTACTCTGTATGAAAGCAGACATAAACCAAAAGTTTTAGAAGTTTAAACTATGGTGTTCACTTTCAGGCTTTCTTAATTAAAATTTTATGATTTAATTTCCAAGATTACATTAAAAAAACATATCAAGGCAATGCTGGTACAATATAAATTCACAGACATAGTAATTAATAAACATTTAAAATCATTCTTGAAGGTGCTTTATCCTGACAAGAAGCAGTGTCTCCATGAAAAAAAAATTGGCAGTATAAAAAATGACTAGTAGTCATATGTTCATTGGATTTAAGCCATCAGATCAAAGACAACATTCCAAAGTAAGGTACAAGCAGATGTGGGTGAAGACAAAAGATACTTTGCTAATATTTCATAGGGAAAATGATGATTGGTGAGTAATTATGGAACAGAATATGTTCAAAGAAAACCAACTAGTAAATGGGTAATTATAGGTCCCAGTAAGTAGTAAGACTACTAGAATTACATAAAGTAAATATTAAAAGTGTCCTAAGGGCCTCCCTGGCGGCGCAGGTGGTTAAGCACAGTGCTGTGAAGCTGTCCACAGCCTCTGCAACGTGGATTTGATCCCAGCCGGCCAGGAAGAGACCCACATGCCGCGGCAGACCTCTCCTGTCTCACCCGCTGCTCCCCTTAGCAGTGTATTTCAGTCAGTCTGCCTGTTCTGTTCCCTGATCTGTCTCTGGTGAATCCTCTCATCTTCCTACACATCTTGCCTATGCCCTGGTTCTTGTATTTAAAAAAAAAAAAAAAAAAAAAAAAGCTGTGCTAAAATTTTCTTTTCAATTTTTGCTTTGCAACAAAATAGATTTGGAAACTATAATGAATGCCAAGAAATATGTTCTTACATGTTCTTTATAGTTTATCCTTAATTGCAACTAAACAGAAAATCTTAAAACCAAAAAACACCTAGTTTTTACTGACAATTTTTTGCTGGATCCTGAAATTTTCTTACTACCATAAGAGTATAAGTTCAAGAATAGGAATAACCTCTAAAAGCCTGACATGTTTTAGTGATCTCCTCAAAAGGAAATAAGAACTCTGTATCTTAAATACTTTAAAAATAGATTACATAAATCCTCTTTCAAAAATTGTAAAAAGTAAGCAATTCATTCCCACTTCTTACATTTAGGAATTATCAGCCACAACCAATGCCAAAATGCACCATGAGCATATTATCTCAGATTATACTGTATCTTCTAACATTATTGGGGGCAGGGAGACTGTTAAAACAGAACCAAACACAACCATGTACTTAGCAAGAGAAAAGATTCTCCTGGTGACCAGCAGCAAATTCCAACACTGATGGATACCGTGTTTGTTATTTTCAATGTTTGACTATAAAAATCACAGAGACCCAGATTTGAGAATAGGTTATAGCTTTCCTAGGTATTTATTTTCTTTGGCTAAATACACCTTAGTGAAAAAAAAAGAAAGAAAGGAGACATAAAAGCATTCATTGGAATTGACCTAGGCCTCTGGACTTTAAAAAGTTAAATCAAGCTGCTCAAATCTCAGGGGGAGCTTGCCTGGGTATGCAAAAGACTGACAATGGGAAAAGGGGCTGGGAGGCAGGAGGCAGCAGGCACACAATGTCACAGCTGGGGACAGACAACAATTGCATCATAGGGAAAACAAAGCAAGTTCCCACAATTCCATTCTACCTAAAAGGGGCAAGTTCCCCTGTGGCCATTTAGCTCCAAACTCTGAAAGGACATTGTAAATGTGATTCTGAAGATAGTGTTAATTTTCACAAAAGGACTGATGAAAATGTTTATCTGTGCAGAAAAGCAACATCCTTATTCACATCCAACAATGCTTTTTAGGCTCCAAGTATATGTGCCTTTTTGCTACAGAGAAATTTCTTTAAAAATCAACTTTCTCATCTATTACATGACCTATTCAGATGATCTTTGAAACCCCAAGACTTTTTAATTGCCACCCAGCAATCTGCCAAGTCTACCACATAGAAAACAAAATTAAGTGGAGGATTTCAAAGTAAATAGATTGGATACCCACTTTATCGTTTTTTTTAGTGAATGCCTGTGAAGGACTGAAAAATGCAGAACTGAAATGCTAATTATGGTAATATCCTGGGGAAGAAACATGGAATTAGGAAGGATAACTCACAGAGGCTGACTACAGAGTCCCTCTCTCATCTGCCTCTTCTGTTTAAAATTTAACAAATATAATTTTCAAGTTATATTCATAAAACATAACATGCAAGGTGTTTTCAGCAATTTCTGGAAGCTGACATGATTAAAAGGAAAGAGATTATCTGATGATAAGTCCTAACAGATGAAATATTTTTGCAAGCATATGCATGCCTTTTCTTTCTCTCTTCTTCACCTGCTTCCTCCTCCCCATAGTTACCGAGAAACAAATAAAATACCAGTAACAGTGTTAGGCCCCAGGGAGTCAGAGATGGTCTGGATATCATCTTTGTCCTCCAAAGAGCCCACTGTAGGCTGGTGAAGTGAGACTCCAGAACTGATCACTACAAAGTACTGTGGTTAAATAAATACACTGAGATGCAGGGCTCATCCATGGGCCATGTTATGGTCTTATTTGTAGACAGAATGGAGTCCCTGAAGCATGTTAGATAGATGTTCTTGCAGCTGCATGGTCTATGAATTTGAGGGGTGAGTACTAAAGAGAAGCAAACCAATAAGGATGAGGGCTAAGCTAGGTAGTGGGCACAGACTCAAGGGGAAGAGTCAGAGAAAAAAAGTAAACTGTGAGAGTCCAGTGGTTGCTGGGTAGTAGAGAAGAAGGGACCTAGTACAACGCAGTGTTCTTTTAGGTACCAAGATGGAGGCCAAAAACATGGGAGGGCAGGTTTGGTCAGTAAATGCCAAGATTAGTTTGGCTAGGCTAGGTCTGCTGGTTCAGTGGGATGTCCAGGTAAAAAGATATTCCCTATGCAGGCCAGAAACAGGAATCTGAAATCTGAGAGAGAGGCTGGTCTGAGATATTAGACAGGTCTTTCTTCCAACACAGCCAACCAGATCATGAGGAATGAGAGATAGGAAATGGGAGAAACTTTTCAGATCCTGGAAAACTTTTAGGACAGGAGCCCTTGGAAGATGAAGAGAAGAAACAAGAGAGTGTCAAGAATAAGACATTATCTTTAGAAGGGGAAAGAGTGGACGAAAGGGAGAAAAAAGTGGGACTCGCATTGGATGCAATAACATCCCAGTAAATAGGCCAACTCCAGCAGAATGTCCGTGAGTTTAGCGAGACACTGATGAGTTTAGCGAGAAGGGGTTGGAAGTCGTTCACTGAAAAATTATTTACTGAGTCCTTCCCTGTGCACACACCATCCTAGGCAAACAGAACGGACACTATCACTGCCCACACAGACACTGTGCTATGGAGAGAGCCACTCTAAGTGTGGCCTGAAGATTAGTGCCAGTCTAGGAGCTGCTACTGTGTGTGATGACCCACGGTACACAACTATTGTAAGCATTTAGCAACTCTTATGGCAATTTTACATGATCCTTTCTATAAATTAATTTTCACTTTAATTTATCAGAGAATTGGTCCATGACAAATTAGAAATTAACAACAAAAGCCCCCCCAAAATGTGTTCCTCCCTGAAGAGAGTGAGAAACAGTGTCTTATTGCCTGCAAAAGGTTGAAATGTGAAGAATGGGGACAGGGTATAAAAAATTCTGCTGGGAATTTCAGATAGGAAAGGGGAGAAAAATAGTGGCTGTGAGTCTTCTCATCTCATTAGAAATAAATTCAGTTAGCAGCAAGGACAGATGGATTTCCAGAAAACGAGGATGCTGATATTTTCCTTCAATACCATGCAATTATTTACATATTCATGTTTAGAGAAACCACCTAGTATTATGTTTACATGAGAATAATTTATGCCCTACTAGATACAGAAATACAATATATCCAAATATATGGGCTGAATAGGTTTTATTTGTAGGCTGTGGCTGATCAATTTCAATCAGAATAGCAATATTACGCACTAATTCCATTCTACCATACACATTCCCTCCCGTCCTGAGTGTTATCAGGAGTGAGGCATGCAAACGTTAGGGCTAGCCAGGTCCTGTGTTTATCTGTCATTTTGGAAATTGGATATTTTGTTAGAAGAAGAAATGACACTAATGAAAATATAAGTTGCCAACACCACATGCAGGTTAATTAATAGGACACAGGGCCTGGATGAAGCCAGCAATTTTCCATTCAGCTTTTCCAGATATTAGAAGTAGATAGCATCATCAAATAATGCATATACACTCAGGCAATTTATAACTTTATGGTTGGGGGTAGGGAAAATCACTGCTCAAAATCCTTCACAATCCACTTATCCCAGAGTCATAGATTGTTGGGTCCCAAGGTTCCTGTAAAGGTTATTACATTAACTTTCTATTACTATAAATGATGACTAGAATCAATTTATAGCAAGTAGCAATCAGTTTTTCTTTTTCTTTGCTCCCCTGGAATGTGAACTACATCATATGGTTAAAGTATATAAGCAAATACTCTTGCAAAATTTTTCTTTTTTTCAAGGGAAAAGCAAAACAAATCAGAAAACTTCATATGGTATATGGTTCATACCTCCTGTAGCAATTTATCTAATTTGTGCTGTAATTCAAGGAAGTATCGGGAGGTGATGAGACCCTGGTGGGATTTATCCAAGCAATCTCGAGCCAGTTCAATAATCTGATGGTGAGTGAAACTAAGCACTCCATCTGCCAGGGGAAGAACGTGGTCAGGAGAGTAGCTGGTGATAATTTCCTTTAGACGTTCTTCCATCTGAGCGGTAGCCTATTTAGAAAAGACACACACACACACACACAGATGTAATACATGGAAACATGCAGGTGAACAATTCAATCATCACATTTATCTAGTATTTTCAGGACTTCATACGTTATTAAATAGAATTCTAGAAATCAAATTTAAAGAAATCTTGTCTCTATATGAACTTTAGAGGGGCACGTACATCATTGTATCTATCAATCTATCGACAGTTATGCATAAATACATATAAAAAATCCACAGACTGTACACGAGGAGTGAACCCTAATGAAAACTGTAAACTCTGGGTGATATGATGTGTTGATATAGGTACATTAGTTGCAACAGATGTACCACTTGGGTGTGAGATATTGATGGGAGGGGCCTGTACATGCATGAAGTCAGGGGGGGGATGGGAATTCTCTACTTTTTGTTCCATTTTGCAGTGAACCTAAAACTGCCCTAAAAAATAAAGCTTATTTAAAAAGAAAAAGATACCTCACCATGTGGAAGAAAAATGTGAGGTATATATGGGAAACTGAGTATCCCAAGGTGATAATTACTTTTTCTCTATGTCCTATCAAATGTAAAATAGTCTATGTGAACTTCTGCAAATTACTCAAATAGTATCTGTGAATTGTTATGCTTTCATTTCAGATCTTGGGGCTCTTTCAGTTAGATTGTCAAAAATAACAAATAGTTATGTTTTTACCTACTCAAAAATCAGAACTGTCACTAGAATTCCATAGGGTGTGCCAAGAGCTTGTTTTTCTACTAGATTTTAACACACCGGGAACAAACATCTTAAACCATCTTTATCCTTTTCTCAAGAAGCTCTATCATTGCAAAAGGCGAAAAGGAGTCCCTGGGTAAAATAAATCTAAAACTTCCTTTCAACTTGCATTTCGTTCTTTGTGATCCCCTATGGCTTAATCAATATTTCTTGCTTACATTAATGTTCATAAGCAGGGAGATGCTCTCTGTCTCCTGCTACCCTCTAAATTCCTGGCCAGCATTAACTTCATAGAATCAGGATCTTTTTCCCTGGTGAACAAGTGACATGTGATAAATAGCTAAAAAGACTTTAATCAATGACATCAATGTTGGGTTCATTACAAATAATAAGTACTCTACCCCTGATTTATGAAACCAAAGATTTCCTTTTGTTCTCTTGCCTAGAGCTACAATGTAGTGAGGGAGAAACAGGAACAAAATGGAGCGATTGCCTTCTCCCAAATGTGTAGAAACACTTTGGTGGAAATGATGTGGAAATGAGGTGACAGGGATTATCAGACAGCAGGTCCCTGCAGTCAGAGGGTTGGGCAATAACCCTTCACTAAGTCCTCTTTGGGTCCATTCTAGTGTCTTTTGCCACTCAAAGGGGGAATGCTGCAACTGTACCTCCCCTTCTAAGTTAACAGGGCTAGACATGTAATTGCTAAAGAGACAGAAAGTCACAGAGAAGAAAAATGAGTTAAGAAAAAAAATATTTGCCTAATATACTATCTAGAGGCTTCTGAAGGGAAGAAAAAAAAAAAAAAAAAAGAAAGAAAAGAAAAGGTCTGTGCTTGACAATGCAAAGCAAGCCCAGCACAGGGTCTAAGGCCTCTCAAAGCCCACCACCACGCAGCGCCTCTGGGCCAACCAGGTGTGTGGCACCTCCAGCAGGATTCACTCTAGAGCCAGTTCAGCACACAGAGACTGCAGCTAGTTCTCAGCAGCTTTTAAAAATGTTCAGTGATTTCATCTTTCTAAGGAGCTAGGGTGCTGTGTTATGCAAGTCATTACTGAGCTGGACCATTACTTCCCATAACAAAACCACCTTCTAGACGCTAAACCTATGTTGCCTGTTCGTTTGGATGCTAGGCCTCTTCGATTTAATTCATTACCTTTGGGAACCTTTCTTTGTAGACATGGTTCATCATAATTATTTCATGGTCACAGCAGGCGGGAGAACGTCCAGGGCTGCAAGCAAAGCAAATTACCCTTTTAAACTTGCCACAGCATGAAATGAAAATAAGCTTTTTATTTATAAACAATTGGTTGCATCAAATGTATTATGAACCTTTGTAAGAAAAGTATATTAGGTAATAAACTACAAAATCAGTCATTAGTACACATGGGCACATACATACCCCCAAGCAGAGACACCATGAATTGGATTCAAAAAGAAAGCTCGGAAACTGGAATGCCATGAAATAATTACAACTACAATATAAGATTAGTTCAGAAAAGGCTCTTAAATGGAGATTACATTCTATAGGTAGCTGGCACTTACATAGTCCTGGAAACCAATTAATGGATTGCAATAGGAAACAAAATACAGTGACTACAAACAGCATCACCCAGGACATGAGAACAGTATAATTTCACACTTTTACCATACACCTGCGCTCTGCCACATACCACAGAAGAGGTTTAAGAGTCTTCTATGGCACAGGTGTCACCATTGAAATCCATTTTCTAGCCTAGCAAATATTTATTTGGGATGCTGAGGTAAGCGTTACACACAATACGAAGCATTGGCATATAACTACATTTATTTTTCTTTATTTCAGCAGTAGGTTCGGGTTCCTTCCCAGTGGTATACAGCTGGCTAATGTCAGTGGGAAGACTTTAGCTCCTGAGAGCATATGGACTGCACTAGATATCCAAGGAACTCCTTTCACAAAACCAAAAAGGGCACCAGTGTGGTAAAATGATGTGACTTCTAAATGAAGTCATAAAATTGATCTTTTATTCCCGCTCTCAAAATAATCATATACATTCTTTAATTACCCGATATGGCCATATTTACCCTCACCTGTTTATGACCCTCAATAAGAACAGTACAAAGGGAAAACCCTTCTCAGTAAGCTTTGATATTAAATTGAACACCTGACAAGCTATTTTTTAATAAAAACTGACTACACAAAAGTACATCAATTCTGTGCCATCAAAGTTTCATATGGTAGGGCCCAGAACGGGACTGTCCTGATGCCACTGCAAAGAAGGAACTTGGCACCTGCTGCTGGCACTGCACAAGTCTGCCGCTGCCAGCACCTTCAGGGACCGCCCTAGATGCAGAAAATCACCCATGGTCATGTCCTTTCTAGCATGACACATCCAAGGACAGGAGGACATAAAAAGCAAAAATTATTTGGTCCTAAGGGGCACATTATCCTGGCCCCTGGGGTCAGCTATTTCAAAGCTAGATTCCTCTTTCTCACAATCCTGCTTCCCTCCTTCCTTCCACAGCTGTCATTCCCAAAGACACTCCCAGATAAACATTCAGCACTTGAACCTGTCTTAGATTCTGCTTCCTGAAGAACCAAATTGTGGTACATATTATTTTTGGAAATAAAGGTCAAAATAAACTGATCCTACTGACAAATGGATATTTGATGCACATTTGGTGTCCACAAAATTTAAGGGACACAAACTCCTAACAACATTCATAATTCTGGAGACAGTAACACTTATTATGGGAAGAAAGGATGAAAGACTGTAGATATGAATCTACAATGTAGAATTGAAAAAAATGATCCTCCTATTTTTGTTTTATTTCTTTTAGCCAGGCTTTCCCCTCTTAATTTAAGGCTAATAATAGCTTTTGCATCACAGATTGCCTTGAAATTTCAATGGCTGAAGTTTATACAGGTGTCCCCTACATTACTGCTGCTGGAGCAATTAGCAAATGAAAAGAATTTAAAAGAAAAGTAGTGATGTCTTTCAATGGTAATTAACTATATCATTTGTGGGTGGAAAATATCCTTTGATTTACAGTAGCTCAGAGACCAATGAACATACATATGAATTAGAGGAGCAAAAGTTTTCCCTTGCAATGGTTTAAAACAGATAATCCAAGCAAGTAACACTTTTCAATCAGGTGCACACACCTCAGACTTCGGGAACGGGGACGCATTGGTGTGTTTCTGCATCTGTTCTCAGTAGCGATACTTTCTGTGGTACAAAAATGTTTCGATAGGAAGTGTAATTCATCTGGTGTTGGTTGGTATGGTAACTGGTGCAACTTCTCTTGGGATGAACAAGACGACTAGAACAAAACAAAGTGAGGTTATACAATGACCTCAAAAAGAAATTCTTCTAATGAATTTGTGATCAAAGTACTGAACTGGGGTGATGCCACCATTTTATATTGTTTCTTTTCATGTTATAATTACAATAACCAGTGCCTAAATGAATACCTCAATGCTTTCTCTGGGTGTTCAATATACCTTTTATATTTAAATCACCTCATCTTTATAAGACAATCTCCCCAAAGATATCTTCCTCTCTGGAGAAAACCCAGGCTCTGAAAATGACTAGGACCCAGTCAAAACTAAAGCAAGGAAGTGACAATTGAAGTGAGAATTTGGGTGCATTAAAAAACAGGTTAGTTCTCAACTGAATACAGTACCCTCACTTCCACAACTCACAATCAAACACTGTAACTTTTAGGTAACATAAAATGAAAGAGATGTATATGTACATAAATAAGGCAAGGAGATTTCTTTCTACAATTCATGCTGTCTTTGATGATGAAAAAGATACTTTTCTCAAAAATACCATTATTTTAAAAACTGGAATTTTCCCCTTTTCTTCTTTGTGACTGAGATGCTAGCTATCTTTTATTTTTTTTTTTTAAACCAGCTTTAGTGGTGGTAAATTTTATTCCCTCTATATAACTTTGCTTTTTGAAAACAGTCACTCAATCTTTGGAGCAATATTAAGGTAAAGAGAGTGAATGACTATTTAAATAAAATTTAAATAAAATTTCATTAAAAAAATAACTGTACCCAATGTAACAAAATGTTGGTGTGTGTCCACTATAAGAGGAAAATCTGAGAGCTATAACAATAAAGCAAAGAGACTGTGGTTTTTGTTTTTATTGGGAGTTGAACCCTCTAATGAACTATAACAAAGGAGACTGAGAAATATTAAGTAATGGAAGCATGATTAGAGTAACCAAATTCTGAAAAATAAGTCAATTGAAAATTCAACAGGTTCTTAATTTGAAAAAAATCTTTTGTGAAATTAAGAGCATACTTCATAAGTATTAAAATAATAAAGTCCCCAAATGTAATACCGTTAATAATATAGCTTAAAAATATCCTTCTACCTTGAAATTACAAAACACCTAACTATGCACATACTAGACAAAGAGGGATTTTTATAAGGTGATTGAGATTATTTGATAAACCCTTTAAATCAGAACACTATTGGAAAGATTTATGAGATAAACCAAAGTTTTTTGCAGAAGGTACCAGTACAAGCTCAAATACTTTCACCAGGAAATCAATCCAAGATACCAGGAAATAATAAAATCAATGTAAGCAGAACTGAATTAGCAAACAGAATTAAGAATCTGTGCATGCATTTCACAGGTCAGTCATTGAAAACAATTCTGCATATAAGATTTCAAAACCCCAAATCCAGAAGTTTATCCATAAATTTAAAATAATCCCTTCTGGTGGCAAAGCATGAACAGAACAGACAGGGAACTATTTAAAATATGTATTTAATCCACTTAACGTGGATGTTGACTCAGGTAGCTGTGGAAATATTAATATGTTTGATTATAAGCAGCTGACCCAGTTGCTGCTGGGTGTTATTTACAGCACAGAAATCAGGTTACCTTTCTAAAATGTGAAAATTAATTCCAAAACACACCAGGTTTGAGTTTCACATAGCTATTATGAGCTTGTTGTTACATGGGAATGAGAGCAAGTGACTTCAGGAAGGTGGCAGGGTGGCAGGGGACTTAGTGATATCTTTAACATTTGAGTTATTTTTAAAGAAAATAAAATTTTATTAAAAAATGTACCCAATGTAACAAAATGTTGGTGGGTGTCCACTGCAAGAGGAAAATCTTATGGTTCTACCCCCTATATACAAACATCAACCGAATTGTAAGGAATAGGTTAGCTGATGAGAAATTTTGAAACTGAATGATATAGGGAGGGGTATGAGTGACTATTAGAATTTTTTTTTTGAGTGAGTATTAGAATTTAATAGTAGTAAGAATCAAGGAGACAGGGAGCCTATCTGAGGAGAGAGGGTTCACCTCAGTTGGAACAAACAAGGCATAGGTGGGAATGGGGTGCTACCTAACTCAAGTGACATCAGGATGGGTCTGGAGCACTGAGAACAACTATAGGCTGGCAAAGTAGTGTGGGGATACAGAGGGTACCAAATGGTACTCCCAAAGAGAGGCAATGTTGGACAATAGAGAAGCCCAAGGTTCAATTTCAGCAGAAATCAGGGGCTGAGAGGAGACCTTGCAAAGCCAAGGAAGACAGAGAGCCATGAGAATAGCAGGGGTAGACACCAGCTACTCCCAAGACCTCCGACACTTAATGAAAAGATACTTCTACTTGTAATGCCACTTTCACAAGTTTCAAGACTTAGTTTGGTAGTTTCCCAGTAAATGAAATCTCATTACTTTATTTCCTGCATGTTCTCTAAGTGTTGTATCAGTGACTCTCATTACCCGATTAATTTGCACACGATTTTTGACTAAAGACATTTGACTAAATCACAAATCAAATCCATTCTCAAAGAATATTTACCAAAAAAAAAACCTGAAAAAAAAACAAAAAAACAAAAAAACCCATGTTGCTACTTCTCAAGGTAATTGAAGCGTTCCAAGACAAAAAAAAACTAACAAGTTCTGAGTAATGATATCATTTAGTTTCTCAAGATAACCATTTTGCAAAGGATTATAGACCATGCACACATCATTCCCACTTGTTATTTATTAAAAGTAATATAACTTTACAGCCATACCTCATATTTATAGGTACTTATATTCTTATTCCCATTACTTTCCCAAGAGTAAACAATTTCTCTGGTAAGAAATATATCGAGGGTTCCTGCTGTTGCAATTCTGTATTATTTACTTTAAAAGAAAAAAATTATGATATAAATATTATCTTCGTAAAGCTCCATGAGTTAATTTGAACTGCAAAATTTGAAGTTTAAAGAAATTGCAATTTTAAATACTCTTTAGAAGGATTGATTAGCTTCATATGACCAAATCTTCCCCATTTCAGAACAGAGGATTTTTAATACTTCTTAATTTTGCAATTTCGAAAATATCAAAAGGATAAAGACATGATGTTTACATTTCAGCAAAAGCAGTTCTGGGATTCAGCTAACAACACAATTACCAACAAAGCATATGCTATGTTTTTCAAGTATTTGTAATATCATGTGTCTATAGCCCATATTTTTATTTTAAAAAATAACTAAAATTAAAATGATTGGCTCATTGAGTAACAGTTAATCCAGAAAATGAGACTCTAAGAGTGTTTCGGTGACTCTAAGAAAATGAGACTCTAAGAGTGATTATATTTAGAGAAGAAAAAAATTCAACTACTAAGCTTTGTGTCCTAATATTTAAAGGACAAAAACACAAAGAAAGTGAGGTAGAACAGAAGTAGCATTTCAAATTCTTACTCATTTTTATCACTAACAAAGCGGGAGAAAAAATAACTGAACTCCATGCAATGGCATCTCTATTCCAAAAGGCAGAGATGTTTTGTGGAGTCTTGGCAAAAAAGAGAAATTACAAAAGTGAAAATTTCATTTTGAAGGGAAAAACCAGGGATGTGAGATCAAGATTTATATCATATCGCCTTCTTCAATAAAATAAACACTTAAAAGTTCCTCTTACCTCTAGTCAAAAGCCACTAGAAACACAGATAATGTATGTATAACTAAATATTATCTCAGGAGGCTTTATGTGAACGTCAGGGAGCGCAATGACTCCATTAAAACAGATGGCCTGGTTAGGTTTATTAATTACAAGGTTTATTTTAAGAAATATAATGCAAATTCCTTAAGAAGAGTCAGGAGTCTGGGGTCTAGATCCCTTACTGTATCTTCACTGATAAAATAAGGGGTAAATAACCCCTCGGTTCAATTTTCACTGTTGATACAAAAAAAAAAAAAAAAAAAAGAAAAAAGTGGTAACAACAACAATAGGATCTGTTTCTAGGACTTAAGGAATGAATCCATTGTAAGTAGTTGGAGTAGGGCTAGCACATAAGAAGTATTTATAAAACAAATACTTTTAAAATTATTTGCATCCAAAGAGGTCAAACGCTATATAGCTCACCTTTTCTTTAGATTTGCATTAAAAATTGGTGGATCATTTACCAGTTAGAGATGGAAAGCAAGACCCTGCACTGTCCCTTTCCCGCATTTTTCTTGCAAAAAAGAAAAACGTAGTAACTCAATAAAACTTGAGTAAAGGGCAAAGCAAAGTGAAACCGCTGAAATAAAAGAGAATTTGGAGTCAAGAGACATAATCTAAATTTTAAGCATGGGGAGGATTAAATGACACTATGTATGGGAGACTATGGGAGAGGCACTTGAACAAGCGCCAAGTACTTAGTGTGTCTATTGGTGGCTGGGGAAGAATGCCATTTACAATTTAGAAAATTACTCTTTTTTGCTTTTTGGTCCATGAATTTGAGCACTCATTTTCACATTGCGGTTATCCATGTTCTTAACATCTAAAATATGGGCCAATAACCAATGATGGTTACTGACACAATGAATAAGGGTGACTTTACTAGTATATAGTGTCAGTTTTACCCACTGAAGCCATTCAGGAGTTAAGCACCCTTTCCTGATGACAACCAGGCTGTCAGGATGTTAACTCTGGGTAGTCAGGATGTACAAAAATGACCTAAATGGACAATAAACTCACATAATACAACAAAATGAAATAATGAATAGTCAAATAAATTGCCTCTCATTGGTAAAATGCGACAAGAGATGGTAAAAATAATCCAAATTCACATTATATTGCACCTGGAATTCCGGAAACACATAAGGCAATGGTGACACCGGGTAGAGTCTATGCATTTAATTGTAGTTTTTTTTAATTAGTTAAGTATCATTGAGTGACTGAATCACTGCTTAACAGCACAGAGCCTGGGTCTGTGGGGGGAAAAACAACAACAACAGATGGATGACCCTACACAATAAGCCTGATTTTGAGAAAATGAACTTGGAAATGAATCCAAAGGAGCTCTAAAATCAGGCACACATTCCTGGCTGGCAGAAGAGCATTCAGACCCCACCATTAGTATTTATTGAATACCTGCAACATAGTGGGTCTTTCTAAAGCTCTGGTTAGACAGATACCCCACAGCATTACTGACTGAGAAAGCATACATCTAACCTACTGAATTGTTTCAGTAATTGCTAGTCCTCTTGTTGAAATATTATAGTTTGGGGCAACAGTATCCTTCTTCCCCATGCTATTTTCATGGTTTCATCTTGTCTCTTTATTTATCTTAACTTACTACTAAGTTCTTTTCATCTCTCCTTAAAAGAAAGTTCTTACCTACTGGGCACAGACAAATTTAAGGCTTGTCGTTTTTTTTTTTTTCCCTTGAAGGAAAACAAACAAACTAACCCCAAAACCCCAATAAATCATACAAACAAAACCCTACTTCTGAGCAACACAAGACACAGTGACACCCAGCCCATCAAAATGTAATGGCATTTTCAGTACTAATATGAGTGGCACAGAACCAAAGCAATAAAACCAGATTGTGCCCCCCTCCCCTTAAATTACACTAAGTGGTATTAAAGTAAAATTCTAATCACTTTCAAACTTTTACATATTGGGACTGAATTTGCACGCCATAGTTTTAAATCTTGTAGCAAAGTTGATCCTTTTTATGTCTGTCAGTCCTTCCATTTGCTGCGTAACCGATTCAGAGTGACAGATGTACAGAATTTATCTTCTCCCTCCCACCAGGAAATACCCCAAGAAAACACTGCCTATAAAAAAACAGCTTCGTGATTGTGAGGGATAGGGAACGAGGGCAGGCACTTACAGAGACGGTGGAGCTGGGCGTGTTTGTCCCATAGCCAGAGGAAGGGAGAGAAGCCAGGGACCAGCGGCGTCCATCAGTCCTATTGAAAAAGTGAGTTTAGCTTAGGCCAGCACCAGAGTACTAGTACACAGGAACCCGAAAGAAACCAAATATTTTTAGTCAAACAAATGACACAAACACAGTCAGTGAGGATGTGGAAATGTTCGTGGTAAACAAACATTATACAGCAGGTTGACTTTTATTTAAGCTGAATCAATACACCCAAACAAGTAGAAAGTGAATGGGGTGATCCATAATATTGATCTCTCGCTAATACACTTTGACAAAATGAATACCAGGGATAATTACAATGGTCAGACTCAGCAGATTCAAATGAAAAAAAAAAAAAAAAAAAAAAAAACCCACAAAAACAGAAAGGGTGGAGGTTTATCTGGAAACTGATAAGCGGGGCTGTGGTCTTTGGAAGGGTCTGAATTCCAGGGTGGCACAAGAGCCTGTGGAGACTTTGCATCCTAAAGACCTGCTGCTTATTATTTGCAAGGGGACAGTCTACTCATCACACCAAGGGAAAAAGGGATCAGTGGGTTCATGGCTGGCTCAAGCCTTATGGGGCAAATAACTTAAGGACTAAGAAAGTGACTGACCTTATGCTCAGAATCTCTGAAGAGTTATTGCCTTCTAACATGACCTGGCTTCATAAAATGCTATAGCAAGTGTCTCCTGCAGAATTTATGAGTGTGTAGACCTGCTCTGGCCAGTGACAGTGGGGGCAGAATGAAAATTCTCCACCAGTGAAAGAACTAATGCAAAGAGCAGAGCTGTCTGCTTGTTACGGAGGCAAAGCTATCAGGAGTCTAGAGAATGAATTTTATCTTCAAATGGTGAGAGGCTGCAGAGCGTCTGGGTTGGACTCTGGTTATGAATGAGGATAATTACACGGGCTCACAGGAACTAAGGAAGTGATAGAGACAATACCAGAAAGCAAATTTTCTGTACACCTTGGCATTCTAGAGCCCTGCTTTATTAGCCATTTTGAATAAGAATGTTACTCAAAATAACATCACACTGTAAACACACACACATACACATTTGCCAAGAGGGAAACATACTTTCTAAAGAGCTATAGTACATTCAAGGATGAAGTACAAACTCCAGACTTTTTATAATTGATGATCATATTAATTTACCAAGTGAGAGTCATGAGTGGACCAAATTTAGCACAGACACAGTCACAGTAAGTTGAAGTTGGGGAATTCAACAGCATTACACTTGAATTTGAGGAATGTCACAACTAGATGTTCACGTTAAAAACTGACGGTTTAACCTAAATAGCATTCAAGGGAAAAATATAATCATAGGCTACCACGGATGTTGCCTCCAATAAATACAAATGGTCCACAAAAATGAAATGGAGAAATTCAAGTGGACAAATCACAGAAGTACTAAAATGTTACGAGTTTAGGAAAATTTACCTGTCATTTCTGTGACCGTGATTGAAGTACAATTGAATCAAGTATGTTTTTAGGAAAAGAAGCAAAATAAGATTGTAAATACACCAGATTCAAGGAATGAGAAGAATTAAATCATGTTTCTTTTAAAAAACAACTGAAACTGTTAAAGAAGAAAAGATCATAACACATGCTTATAATTATATATGGCTATCAATTAAATGGACACAGGTAGGCCTTATTTTATTAGGCACCTATATTAAACTTAAAAAGCCATGCCTATACTTTATATTTTAAACACCTCCAATTTTCAGAAGTTAGAAAGGATATGAATTTAAAAGAATTATTCAGTTCATTTAATAGCAATTATCAGCAACTAGTCTCTGGAAAGAGTGAGGGACACAATTTCCCCTTCCACGACTTTGTTTTGTGATTCATTAACTCCCCTTTCCCTCAGGTATCAATGAACATATTTCAGATGAATGAACAATTCCAAGAGGAGACATGTTCTTATTAGTTCTGAAGCATAAATTACATTTGCTTACTCTGGAAAATACACAACTAGCAAGATGTTTAAACAAGAATGTGCTCAGTACTCTGTGCAGCCATGGATCAGAAATAATTTATGTCTCATAAAGTTCCCTAAGTTATCTGTGTGTGTGTTTATTCAAATGGAGCACAAAAGACCATTGCGCTTTCATTACCACAACAACCGTGCTTCCCAGGTGACTATAGATGCTATATACTGTACTTAAGAGAAAGCATGCCCTTTTTTTCAAGAAAGCTATCACACAAGTACAATTTGGATCCTACTAACAGTGTCTTCTCTTTGCCATAACTACGAATAAAACGTTATCTGAAGACAAAACTATATTCTTGCCAAAGCAACGTGGGTTTTTTGAAGAGTGTTTTCTTTGTGGGTGGAAAGCTCAATGTTACACTAAATGAAAAATAAGAAGGGAAAAACATTTGATGGGAACACAGGATACAAAGAGATTGGGGGAAAACACTGTTGCAACACTATTCACAAATATAGATGAATGTGGTGTACAACAGAAGGAATGAGAAATCCTAACACCAACCTGGTTATTATAGCTGTATGAAGAGGAAGCAGATTTTATTATTTGCCTATTTGTTACAGTCACATGGTCTGGTACATTTACATTCTAGCTGATGTTGGAACAAGTTGAACTATGCCAATATAATACCACCTAAACTCCACTCCAAAAGGGATTCTGAAAGAGTAAGTAGGATACTGCTCTGCCCACCTACGCTCAACCAGTATCAGATAACCCCAACTTAGAGGGCAAGTCTGTTCTAGTAATTTGCCTGTGGAAATATATTCTGAGATTTAATCTGGTGAATAACAACCGGGCAACTAAGAGCCACCCATGGTATTTATTCAGGGGTCTGTATTTCCAATGAAAGTGAAAGCATTTTATAACCAGTAAACCTCTGCCATTTCCGGGAAAGGCAGAACATTTCTAGCTCTCTCTTACCAGTAAGGAAAACGAGTCAACCCCATTGTCAGATGGACTGTTAATTGTATCACAGTAAAGAAAAATGTTTCTTTTCTCCGGATAAAATCTGCCATGCTCATTTTCATCCTTTAATTTTAGCCAATTGCTTAAAAAATGAATTTGATAATTTTGCTGACAAATACATACTACATAATATGGAAGGCAAGTTTGTACTTTATTTTCTAGGCTAAAATTAAACTGTTATAAGAGATGTCCACAGGGGAGTATTATCACATGGTATAAGACCAGAAAATTAATAAGCCTGATCTTTTATCCTTTTACCTAGGAATAATTTTAAAATAAGGCAATCTCTCCTTAGTTGGATTAAATATACAAAATAATAAGATGTGGGCTCAAAATGACATTGCTTCTTCAAGGCTCAGAATTGCTTACCAAATAAGAGAGGATTGAAACCCAGGAGTGGAGTTGCCATTTTTCCTGAGTGAAAATCAAGTTTAAGATTGAAGAGACAGACCCCAGATGTTAAATAAAGATATGCCAATTTGAATTTTTCTCACAAACACAGGGTCCTGTTTATTTGAATGGAAGTTTAAAAAGATGATCACTCATATCCCAATCTAAATTAATACTTTCTGAAGAGTGTGGAGGGAGTTCCATATGGAAATTCATGCAAAATGAACTAGAGGTCTCCTGTGATAATCTTCTGTCACGGTTTATGGTTTATTTGTCAAAAATTAACATGCCTGGAGGTTTGTGTATCTTTTATAGCATAGAAAGCAGATTCATCTGTCCTCCAGTCACCCACTTAATTATTAGATTCCCTTCATTTTTAAAAACCTGGCAGGATTAAGAAACTATGATTTCTGTCATGTTTAAATGCACCCTGTAATGAAATTTGCATTTTCCTTATTATTTAAAGTCATTAAATACATTCCCTTTCTTTTAAAAGATGTATTATAAAGACTATGGTGGGTTTTTGTTTATCAATAAGATTTTTTTTCCACTGGCAATTGTAGCACCACTGTGAATAAATATCCACGAGGCACACGCGGGCTTTGAGAGATTGGTTAATTTTTATATTTTCTTTACAGCACTTAAAACGAGTAGCTTAAAGAATAAAAGTTGCAATTGGGGAAAATCATAGCGTTTGAGTCTCAAGAAGGTCCTTAGAGATCACATCTTAATTACTCGTGTTTCCTCCCGCTGGTGCAGGGCTAGTACCTTACACACATGGGCATTTAACACATGGTGGGGAATGCAGGAGGTTTACAAGGGAATCTTAATTATAGCGGATTCTGAAAACACGGCAAACAGACCCTGTTCTCTGGATTTAGCAATATAAAATGCAGTACACAATGATAAATAGCTGTGAGGACAGTGTAAGCTCTGCTGATGAGAACATGTGCTGAAACGTCTTTTTTTTTTTTTTTACCTACTTACATATCTTTACTAAATACTACTTTAGTGCACTTGAGAGAACAGGCTTCTGAGGAACATGAAGCAAATATAGCATATAACCTTAGTGTATCTTGATCATTCAGAGACCTGGCAGAAGGCCATTTTGTTTCCTTCCTGCATGCAACAGCACAGGGTATGTGTATGGGAAGGGGAATGAAGACCAGGAAGGAGAGGTGTGAGTTGGACATGGTGAAGGACATCTCGTTCCACATGTAAAACAGAGACAATGGGGAGTACGGGGCACAGACTTCTCTGATGTGGGGAAATCACAGTGGAAGATACAAGCTGAAAAGGTCTGATAGGAGAGCATGTGTCCACTGTCTTCAGAGTAACAGCAACTCTCTTTTGACTCACTGCCCCAAATGTGACACATGTAACATTATTATCAAGTGGTGTCCCATTCTCACTTAGATAGGATGAGGATACCCTGTGGTTTACACAAGGTTTCTCTCAGAGGACCACTGAATTGCTGGTTTGATGCTCTTAAGTAAAGGAACACCTTAGAGCTTAAGCCTTTTGAGCCCAAGAAAAGTCATTTCTATCAAAAGAAAAATTATTTCAATAATACAAAAATCATACCAAGACACAATGATTCACTAAGTCCTTATAATATAAGCTCAGATAGATCAGTAAAAATACATTGTGCATCCCCCACATACAAGGCCCTGCACTAGGGATGGGTGGAAACACACAGTCATTTGCTGCCAACACTGGGAGACCCCCATCTACTGCAGCACCAAAAGAGGAACATATAACTCTAACCTGAGGCAAAGCTCATTGTGACAACTGAAAGCAGAAGTGTTAGCGTAAAATTCTGTAGTGGCCTAAACTTATCTTTGGTGGGGGAGCTTCAGAGACGGCAAGGAGCAGATCTCACGATGCAGAAGGTAGGGGTGTAGGAGATGAGGGGGTGTGGAGGGGGAGGAGTGGGGTATGCTATTCTCTACATAACTTTCTATTATTCCACTTACAAGAAATTCTTACCTCCGTGCAAATGAGAAATGGGCTGAGGCACTGGGGGAGAAATTTCTTGGACTATCTTGAGGGCTATTTCCTGCAGAGAGAAAGAAGAAAACAATTTACAACGTGATTTTGTTTTTACATCATTATTCACATCCAGAATCTTCTCATTAGTTATAAGTTCCTGTACACTTTTGCAAAATGTTCATCCCCCTAATGATGTTTTAGTTTTACCTGGAGCAATGATGGGGTGGGGGTAAGGGGCCGGAGCGCTAGCACAGTTTTCCAGGTGTACAAGATACATGAACTTATCTGTATCACCAGCCAGCAGTCTTCCCCATACTTAACCATCTAAAAGTTTCAGTCCTATAGAACAATGAATATACAAATGTCTTCGCCATACCCTTCCAGGTGCTAACCTTTCAAAAGACAGAATGAATGGGGGGGGGCAGGTATGCTTGAATTGGGGTGCTGGGGGTTTTCTATTTCAGGGAGGTGGCCTTAACATTTTTTATCTATGGGAAACAATGAAAGTCTTGAGTTCTTGGAGATAAATCCTCATATCCCAAAATACATAATTTAAAGGTGAATTGTCAGAACTTGTCAGAAAATATTGGGAGGAAGCCAGAAGTCCGGTCTATTTCTCAAACAACTCAAATCTATTTCAGCACGTCCCTCTGCTCCTCAGCAGCTGGGCTGTGACTGACCAGGAAGACTTTAAAAGTCACAGCCACACAAAGACTGGCAGAGGGTGTTCTCCCCAAGTCCTTTCAAGGGGGGTGGCATGCAGACAGCTCACTGTAAGGAGGGCAGCTCCTCCGGGGCTTGTTACTTTCTCCGGTTGAACACTCAACCTGCTGCTGATCATTGAGAAAGCTTGGCAGGCAGCTGCTGAGGGGAAGTTCAGGACACTCCAGACCACTCTGCCTCCCCCTGCATGCTTAATTAGATTGGCAGAGCTGTCTGAGGCCTGGGTGGGACTGCAGCTGGATGAGGAGGTGAGGAATGGATGCAAACTAAAGCAGTGCATTCTTGAAGCAGGAAAAATAAATCAAAAACTGTGTTTAATCCTTAACAGCAAGCCAGTTGCCACATTACTGACTTCATAATGGAAGTGACAATTGTAATTAGGTATAAGGAATACAAGATTGCAGGTTCAAATCAGTACCTTGCTGTAAAGGTAAACAATTTATTATCCTGTGAGCACATTAAAGAGGGTAAGTTTAGTGTTACCTTGAGGACTTCTGGCCTGGCTATACTTCTCCTGAAATTTTTCAATTAACGTAAGGTTGCAAGTTTTATAGTGATGTTTTCAACAGATGCCATTAGCTTTATGACAGACAGCACCATTAAAGCTACTTTACTGGGAAGCGCTGAAAAGTCCATTTCTTTATGGATAGAGAATCAAGAAGCATTTTTCTCCCTGCTGCAATGAAATTTATCATGCCTTTGCATCTGTTGTTCCTTGGGCCCCAAGAGAAAGGATTTTGTTTTTGCTATTCAGTAATTCAGGACTCCTTTTGTCAATTTATCTACACAGCTAAATTAAGCTCTTTCAACTTCTCTCAACTGCCTTCATTCCCCCAGCTCCTCTCAACTTGGCTTGTACATCACTCTTCATATTTCTTAAAAGGTCTCTGTAATTTCAAGATGTTTACAAATTTTGTTTCCTAAAGGAAAACAAACATAAGACCAGAAATCTTCATGTAAATGTTGTTTTTCACTTGGAAAAAAATGTTCACTTTGCTCAGCCTGCATAGAGAGCAAACTACCAGTAAATTAGTAGGAGAAACAAAAGGATTAGTTTGAAGTCAAAGCATTTTGAGAATAATTCCTGCTACCTATTCACCTAGAATAAATAATCAGGCCAATGACACTTGGTACTGAATTCTTAACCCTGTGGTCTCTGCAAAGAGAACACTGTATCTGAAGATTATAATGAGATCAATTAGAACAACTAGAGAGAACTTATTAAATATTTTGATTCTGAAGAAGGGAGAAACATAGAATTAACCAAAAACTATTCATTTTTAAAAATTTTAATGAGTGGTCTCCAGCAAGTCACGTAACATCTTATAATACAAGGTGATATATCAGTTTGAAGATGAATAGAAGGAGATAGAAATAGATAGAAGTAGCATAGAAGTAGATTAAGATAACTATGCTCTTAAAAGAAAAAGCAAGGTTATGTTAACCATTTTTAATTTCTGGGTTTGCATTCCAAATATGTGCTACCTTTCCAGTCATTTAAAATGTTCATTTTCTTCTCGTGTCGCATACATTGCTATAAATTTAAACCCAAATTCCTACATCTTTAAGACTATAAACTCATCTGCATTATCTTATTAACCATAGATCTTTCTTATTTAATGTTTGAAAAGTTAGGTTGAGAAACAAATACAACACACACACTCATACACACCACATTATTACAAAAGCTTTTAAGGGTAGTGAGACATTAAAGGAAATGAAGGCGAACTAAAATGCCTGATAATTTCTTAAGGATATGAGATAGAGCTTCATTTGGGGGTAGTACTGTGAGCTCAGGATAAGAGAAGAAATTTGAAGGGGGCTTCAGAAAGTAGACAGAAACAACCCAAACACAATAGAGGAATGGAATACAGATAGGCTTTTTGGCACCAGGCTATACAGATTGGTAAGGCAGTGACTTGTGAACTATATTTACTGGTATGAGCTAGTGTGAGGCCCTTCTAGATGTTCAAAGGCAAGTGTGAGATACCAGACATGGGAATGTGGCATGAATGTGTTGGTTAGACCAGAGAGGGACTGAGGAGGAGGAGCTAGGGTAGTGTGTGGTGGATAAGTAGGCACTTTCATTTGGTAGGCAAATCAAACATGATTGTCAATGGATTAGAAGATTACAGACCCATAGTGGCTGACAGTTCCAATGTGGTAGACTGGATGAATGACTACCCCATTTTGAGTGAGAAGTAGGTTGGGTGATGATTATAGATGAAAAGGATGGGTATGCTGTAGACTTGTGTCATTTATTATAGAAAATTCCTCAATTTTCCTTAGGGAGAAATTACAAGATTAGTAGATTAGATAGGAAGAAGTCAATCTTTGAAGTCTTTGTTCTTCCTTGAAATAAAAATTGATTTATTTGTCACTACTTGGTCTCTGAAGACTTCAAGGATGCTATCTTATTATACAATGATGAAAAAATACTGCTAGTTTAAAACAGATCAAATTATAAAGCATGCCTTATGTATTCTTCACTCAGAGACGAGAGGACCAGACTCCCATGGACATGCACAGCACTTCCCCAGGATGAGAGAGCAAGATGGATTGTAATCAGAGTCCTACACATGACCTTCACTCCTCACAGCACTGCTCTCTGAATTCATCCACCCATCTGCAAAGAAATACCTGAGAGACTCTCAAATGAAAACTGGTGCCAGTTAATTCTCTGCCCATATGTGCAGCACTTGCTTATAACTCAAATCCTGCTGCTCCCAGGGATTTTCTGGCTCTTGGATGTTTGAGTGCTCGGACACTTTATAGACTGCTGGTATTGCAGCTGATGTTTCTGACCTGGTAAAGGAAACCTTAAATGGTGGTCAGGCACTAGGTAAGTAATTAACTCTAAGATCCCCAGGGGGAGCTAGCATAGCTAATACACAAGCACTATATCAAAACACTACTTCACCTAACTGCTCTGCACAGGGTGCCTCATTTTAGAGGCAGTTATTGTTAAGAAAGTGATTTCCAGATTAATTAAATTGTTTGATTGCTTTGTAATTAGGTTGGAGAAGTCCTGTGTCTTCACCACAGAGAAACAATCCGCAAATCTTTTTAAAAGGCATATGCTATACCCACTATAGATTATTAATGTGCTTTTAATAGCTGTCTGTTCACAAAGTGATAGTTTCGGGTTGCCTTGATTTTCTATCAGTACAGAGGGAATCCAAGAATTAATGATAACTGCCATTTGAAACTCCTGGTGGATTAAAGAGTAAGCCCCCATCTGAATCCTGTGTCATTACTTGATGATCTGCTTAAATGAGTTGTGACATTTTATACCATAATAATCAGTGCTGTGATTCTTATTTTGTGGGGGATTCTCAGGAACAAATTGGTAGTGCTTAAACATCTTAAGACCAAACTTCACAGAATGAAACCCAGGATCTTCTTGCAAGATGAATGCCAGCAGATAAACTGAGTCACAGAACAGTTATGCAGGATTCACAAGCTGGGTGACTTACAAAATAACAGTTCAAATCATCCAAGAAATCTGAGCCTATACCTCCATAAGCAACTGACACAAGGTGAGAGTATTCTCCCATTCATTTAGACACTTGTCTCAGAAACTGGCACCTCTCCAGATGTAATTGTAGAATGTTAATTAAACCTGGGCAGCTGCTTCAAATCTAAGTGACCACAGAAAAACCTTGATTGGCCTTCAGTGGAACTGTCTCTGGTAACTGTGAAGTGTTGACAGCAGGCCAATGAAGTAGACTCACAAGCCTGTATTTTCAAGTATAGAGCATTATACACAATAAACCAAGGCTTCCTTAAAATCTGGGCTCTCTGAACCAATTTTGGTTTCTCCCGTGTCTGTCTTATTGATCCTTCTGTAGCCAGCACCACTACATTCTGTCATCTAATTCATTTAACAGTTATTTATTAATCCTCTACTACATGCAGAGGAGTGGTGTCGTTTGATTTAGATTTAGAAAGATCCCTCTAGCAGTCTGTGGCCAGTGGGCCCCACGCAGGCAAGAGTGGAAGCAGGGAGATCAGTTAGGAGGTTACCCACATAGGCACGGTAGGAAATAACAGTGGACTGGTCAGGATGAATATGCATCTCAGGCATGTTCCAGTAGTAGAGTCAACAGGATTTGCTGAAAAATTTGACTGTGAATAATGGTGGAGTAAGACAGGAAACAAAGATGACTGCAAAATGTTAAGGCTAAGCAAATGGGCTGATGGTGGCATTAATTGAGATGGGGAAGAATGAGGGAGGACAGAGTTTGGGGGTGTGAGAGAAATTTAAGAGAGAAACCTGAAAATCTTCATAGGCTTTAAGCTCCTTTACTTTTGGAGGCACTACCTCAAATAATTTCAAATATA